CTTCAGAGTTGCGGGAGGTGCATATACATCTCAAAGAGACAGAGGCAGGGGGCTCAGCTGTAGCTCTTTTAGAGTAAAGGAGACTATTAATAGTCAGGCGTGGGCTAGAACTAACGGCAAATTCTTTTGGTGGGCTTGAGCTTTCTCCAGCAGACATTCGAATGGGGGGAGGGGTCTGGGTTCATCCTAGGGACACAACTTATCGTGGCCAGAAGCCATGCCAGCATTTAGCCTTCTCTTAGTGCCACGTTGCTGTTTAATTTTCACTTACTTATTTTTCCAAAATCACCTTTCCCATTCCAAGCAAACCATGTGCAGAGATCTGGATGGAGTCTTTGTGTGCCGAGAGCTCTGCAGGTCCCAAAGCCCTTTTCCATCCACTTTCCCATCTCCCCTCCGCCTCTGTGCTTCCTCCCTGCATGGACAGCAGCTGGGGCCGGGCAGCTTTCTGCCCTTCACACGCAGCCCAACCTCTGGCATAAGCTCCTGTCCTGGGCTGGGCAATTCGCCCGCACTTCAAACGGTCTGACGCTTGGCTGGGGAGCTGGAGGGCAGTGGCCATGAGGTCCCAGTGGAACCAGCTCCAGGACCCCCTATGTTTTTTATAACCCTCTCCCTTAACTAACTACCTGAGCCTTTGAGTTGTTTCCCAGTAATGATGGACTTGCACTCCTGGCCTCCAGGAAGTGGATCTCAGCCTCCCAAAGTGCTGGCATTATAGGCATGAGCCACCACACCCTGTGAAAAGATGGATTTTCTTCAAGACAAAGGGGTTGAGATTCTGCAGGCACCCTCTAAAATATATACTTTTTAATTTATCAAGAATCACAGGCCAGGCACGGTGGCTCACACCTGTAACCTTAGCACCCTGGGAGGCTGAGGCAGGATTGCTCAAGGTCAGGAGTTGGAAACCAGCTTGAGTAAGAGCAAGACCCCGTCACTATTAAAAATAGAAAGAAATTAATTGGCTAACTAAAAATATGTAGAAAAAAATTAGCTGGGCATGGTGGTACATGCCTGTAGTCCCAGATACTTGGGAGGTTGAGGCAGGAGGATCGCTTGAGCCCAGGAGTTTGAGGTTGCTGTGAGCTAGGCTGACGCCATGGCACTCTAGCCCAGACAACAGAGCTAGACTCTGTTTCAAAAAATATATAAATATAATAGAGAAAAGAAAGAAAGAAAGTCCAGGTAGAGTGGAGGGTGGCAAGAGAAAAAGAGGTAAATGGGAGAAAAACTACATTGAAAACCCTTGAGCGGTTTTGTAACTCAGTTTTTAAGGACTTTAATTTTTACTTCGTCAGCTATATTAGCATCTGGTCTATAAAAATGGTTATTATATTGGAGAGTCAAACAAGTGAGAGGAAACTAGCATGTTGTTTTCACATACTTTTCTTTGTTGCCTTTATGCAATGTTTTTCCTTGTTTTTGTAGAGCAGCAACTATGTTTTCTTCATTTTAAGAATTCTGAATGGTTGGGTTTGGTTTTAGAAGTAGTCTTTTCAGTTTGAAATCATACTTCCATCTCTTTCAACACAAATGGATTTTGAGCATTCTCCATTGTCTTCAGGTCAGAGAGTGGAATTAATTAGGACTCTAATAAACTAAAATGTTTTGGGATAGCATGCCAGCAAAAAGGGTGTACTTTATAAAGGTTCAAGGATACTTAACAGAAAGAGAGGATGTTAATGCAGCATGTTCTTGGGAACCAATCAGATGCAGAAAGTTTTATCTTTGACTTGTTTCTGAACCTCTGCTTTATTTTTCAACTTGCTGTCAACTGCCACGGTTTCCATGTATTAGGAGACAATAGCGCCTTAATTCGCTTTTGTCTGTATCAAAAAAAGAAAGAAAGAAAACTACTGGATTATCTCTTTGCATGCAATGTTACAACAATCTCCTGGCCCCCACCATACTTCCTGTTATTTAAACCAGCTGCCCCAGTGTATCCTGGCTGACTGGGAGGTGCTCCATTCAGGGAATTCCTGATTTTTACCTGGAGGAGAGGTAAGAACCGCTGGCCTAATTGAGGGAACACATGTAATGTCTTAATGAGATGCAAGTTCAGCCTAGCTAAGAACCAAGTTCTTCTTTCTCACATACAGTTGAGACATCATCAATTTGATGAAATGCAGTAGATCTTTAGCCTATACTTCTCTTACTTCCAGGCCTGTGTGGTGACTTGGATTTCTCACAGGCTCCTTAAACCTAACTTATCTCCAAATGGACTCTTCATCTGCCTTGCCAAAGCTCTTCCTTTTCCTGCATTCCCTGCCCTGGCAAATGGAGCCACCCAAACTTAGAAACACGGATGCACCAAGTTCCTCGGAGCTTGTACAGAATTCCTGACCCTCTCTGACTTTCCACATACAAAAGGTCTTCCCCATTCTAGCAATTCTGTCTTGTATATCTGTCCTAATCTGTTGCCTTCTTTTTCTCTCCTCTCCTGTGGCTTTGATTCAGGTCTTCCTAGTCTCTCTACAGGATTACTGCAGTAAACTCTTAACAGCTTTCCTCCCCTCTAATCAATTCCTACTCCATACTGTCCTTAAGTTTTCTTTCTTTTTTTTTATTTTTTTTCCTGCTTTTTTTTTTTATTTCGGCATATTATGGGGGTACAGATTTTAAGGTTTCAATAAATGCCCATTTCCCCCCATTTTTTTAAAAATTTTTTTTTATTTTTTATTTTCTTGAGAGAGTCTCGGTTTGTTGCCCAGGCTAGAGTGAGTGCCGTGGCGTCAGCCTAGCTCACAGCAACCTCAAACTCCTGGGTTCAAGCAATCCTGCTGCCTCAGCCTCCCAAGTAGCTGGGACTACAGGCATGCGCCACCATGCCCGGCTAATTTTTTATATATATATTAGTTGGCCAGTTAGTTTCTTTCTATTTATAGTAGAGACGGGGTCTCGCTCTTGCTCAGGCTGGTTTCAAACTCCTGACCTCGAGCAATCCACCCGCCTTGGCCTCCCAGAGTGCTAGGATTACAGGCGTAAGCCACCACGCCTGGCCTAAGTTTTATTTCTTAAACACCAGTCTATTCCTTGATGAAAAATCCTACAAGATGACTGGGCATGGTGGGCCATACTTGTAATACCAGCACTTTGGGAGGCCAGGAGTTCAAGACCAGCCTGGGCAACATAGCAAGACCCCATCTCTACAAAAAATTAGCTTGGCATGATGGTGTGCACCTGTAGTCCTAGCTACTCCGGAGTTCAAGGTTACAGTGAGGAGTGGTGGTGTGCCACTGCACTTGGGCTTGGGTGACAAAGTGAGACTCTGTCTCAAAAAAAAAATCCTACAAGATGAATATTCCATCCAAAACATAGGCAAAGGACACAAACAGACCACCTCATGGAAGAGAAAAATACTCATTTATATATGTGATGAAAAGTTGTTTCTCCTCATTAAGAAGTAACCGTGGCCGGGAGCGGTGGCTCACGCCTGTAATCCTAACACTCTGGGAGGCCGAGGTGGGTGGATTGCTTGAGGTCAGGAGTTCAAAACCAGCCTGAGCAAGAGTGAGACCCCGTCTCTACTATAATAGGAAGAAATTAATTGGCCAACTAATTTATGTAGAAAAAATTAGCGGGGCATGGTGACACATGCCTTTAGTCCCAGCTACTTGGGAGGCTGAGGCAGTAGGATTGCTTGAGCCCAGGAGTTTGAGGTTGCTGTGAGCTAGGCTGACGCCAGGGCACTCACTGTATCCTGGGCAACAAAGCAAGACTGTCTCAAAAAGAAAAAAAGAAGTAACCATGACATTTTTTTCAACTATCCAATGGGCAGAGAATTGACAGTATGATTATAAGAGTATGAGGAAATACTCCTCCGTACCATTGTTGGTAGTGCAATGGTTTCGATGGCATTTTGGCAATGTTTTGGATGTGTGGAGAAGCGCAAACCGCCTAGTATACCCCAGCCTCAATTACTGTAGTTGGTCTAAGGCCAATGCCTACCCTGATTGCCTCAGGGGGAAAGTATTTTGTAAATAATAGCTAATATTTACTGGGTGCTTGCTATATTCTAGGTGCTTTATGACCGTTAACTCATTTAATCCTCACAATACTCCTGCAAATACTATTATTATTATTATCCCCATTTTAAATATAAGAAAACTGAGGCACAGAGGATAACATTTTGCACAAGGGGTGGAGCTGGGATTACCGGCACTATATTTACCTAGGGAGATCTAGCTCAACTGCTATTTTCTGCATGGAGCCTCGCTTCCGCTGGTCGTTTTTTTTTTTTTTTTTTTTGTGATAGTCCACATCATCTACAATAGGAATTTGTTTATGTAAAATTCGCTCCTTTGTTACCATCAACAGGCCTTCTCTAATTGCTTTGTGTATCTCATCCCAATTCTGTGTGACTGAGCTCCGAGGAACTCCCTCCACCTCTCATTCCGATTCTTTTTCACAGTATCCTGGCCAACGCCATCCTGGTCCACGCTGGGTACATGGTTAAGACCTCGGAGAAGGTTTTGATTATCCTAACATAGATAGGCCTAACAAACGCTATCGTACCTTTCTGTAGGGCCAATGGCATATCTTTACAAATGTGAACACATTTCCCCGAGACTGAGACAGACACACAGCAACTTTCCCACATACAACAGGGGGAGCACGCGCCTGGGCAAGGTCAGCTGCGCCCCGCAGCCGAGCACCGCACGCCGACCTTCCCGGCTTTCCTACGCCAGGAGGACTGGCCCGGAACCTTCCTGCGAAGCGCAGGGGGCCCGCCCGGACAACGCCGCGGAACACACAACACAGCGAGGACTAGTAGGTCCACTATATGCCTGGAATTTTTAGCTCATCTACGTGTTCCCGGAGAAAATAGCCTTAAATGTTTGCACTTGTTAAAGTCCCGAGTGACTATTACCTTTTTTATATCTTAAGAAATATCATAATTAATTGATTCCAAGAGAGTTTCTACTGCTTTTTGGTTAGGCGTATATGTGGACAGCCCACTTGAAACGAATAAGGAAGGCGGGGGAAGAAAGCGGAAGCCGCGGGGCCTTCTAAGTCAAAAAGTCTCCGGAGCTTGCGCCAGGCTTTTCGCGGCGCCCCGGCCTTAGACGCAGGTCTCGGAAGCGAGCAGGGGAGAAGGCGTCGTTGCCGGAGCTGAGACCGGGCGGCCGGAGTCCGCAGGGATGAACCTCGAGTTGCTGGGTGAGGAGGGCTGTGCCTGCATATCGGAGAGCCCTTTGGTACTGGAAAGGAGGGAACCCGGGCGGGAGGGGAGTCAGGCTGCAACCTTAGGGACACTTCTGCGATGGGTCATTGGGCACACCTGATATGGAGCATCAGCAGCAGGAGGAAACCCAGTTCTTCCCAGGTAGAATGCATTGCCTATCCCGAAGCCACTTTCAGATCAATTCTGTAATGATAGGGACAAACAGTTTGTGACTTAGCTGTGATTACGAGGATCGCAGGGATTGAAGTAGCCCAGAGCAGGCAGGACCAGCATTGTTGGAGATGGAATCTGAAGACGTGAGGGGTTTGGAGACTTGTCAGGGGGTGGGGTGCCTAGATGGGGTAAGTGTCTTTATAGAAACAAGGGATGTCTAAGGAGAGGACTTGAAGATCATCTGGTAGAAGTCTCTAATTGAACAGATGAAAAAAGGCTCAGAGGGTCGTGACCAAGCACTAAGCAAATAAATGGCATAGTTGGCACTGGAATCCAGTTATCCTGACTTCCTATTTACTGCCCTTTACTTCTAGGGACAGTGCATAAAAAATCAAGGTGTAAACTACGGAGCAGTTGCATTTCATGCTCCTCACTTTGAGTCGCTTCCTAAGCCCTTACCCAGATTGTTTAAAACTTGTAGGTCCTTTTTTCTGGGCTTTTGTTAGGTGACCTTTAGCATGGTAGCCTGGGGATATCTGAGGTTTTCAAGAACTCCTACATGACTTGCTGTCCTTAATGGCTAGGTTTCTCTTTAAAAAAACAAAAAATTCAGAAGATGTGTCCAAAGAATTACAAAGATATTTAAGAAATGGTGTTTGCCTTTAAAGAGCTTTTCCTTAAGGAGGGAGTTTAAGGTGATTTTGCAACATACCACGACTGTTAACATAATGTAGGCAGGCCTATAAGAGTCATCACCAGTTGCTAAGAATGTTTGGAAGAGGGAGTGAATTGGGGCAGAGGAAAAAAGGCAATCAGGAAAACAAAAACAAATCTTCCAAAACCTGTGGAGGAGTTGGAATTTTAAGTGGACTTTTAAGGTTGCTAAAATATCAACAGACCGAAGTATGGAGATATGGGGGGGAAGGAATGCTCAATAGGAATATATCTGAGCTAAGGCATCAGTGAGAGAAGACCTAAAGAATCTTTATCCTTGGCCACGTTGTGGGTACTATGAATAAAAGGTCAAGAGATGGGGTTGGTGCCTTCTATTTTATGTAGGCTCTTGAGTTTGAAGCTGAAAAGTTTATGCTTTTTAAGGAAGGTAGAGTAAATCAATTGAAGGGTTTTGACCTCAGAGTTATGACTTTGTAAGGGTTATGTGACAGCAATGTATAGTTAAGTCTTGGAGGGGTGTAAAACCAGTTTGGAGGGCCATTGTAGATGAATGATAAGGAAGGCCTGAGCTGGGAGATGGAAAAAAAAAAGACACTGAGAGGGTAGAGACGACAAATTTGAGTATTGATTGCATGAGGCAGTGGTGAGGAACAGAGTGAAGTGAAAAATCATGGGAGCAAATAATGGTGCTAATGATGACATTTAAGGACATTGGGAAAAGACAGCTTTAGATATGTTGAGTGTGGATCTAGGGCTCAGGAGACAGGTTTGGATTTCTGAGAGATCTGTAATCCCACAGGTGGGCTAATTGAAACCTTATGAGTAGAGGACATGATCAAGGGAGAAAGTAGTAAAGATGGAAAAGAAAATTTCCAAGGACAGAATTTTGAAAAATTACCAATGCTTAGGGGATAAGGGGAGAAATAAATGATATAATAAATTAGCTAACAATTATATAGTACTTACTATGAGCAAGGCACATTTTCAAGTGCCTTCTGTGTAAAGGTAGGAGATACTACAGGTTCATGTGGGGCCTTTTCATAGAAGCCAGTTGTAGAGCAGTTGAGGCTGAAAGTGAAAAAGGGCTGCTCTGTTTAGTCATTGGGCAGCTTGGAGCCCCTCAGCAACTGGAGCAGAAGCCAGATTCAATGACTTTAGAAAGGATTGGGAGACAAAATAGAGGCAAAAGTTTGACTCTTATTTTTAAAAAGTTAAGGATAGAGGAAAGGTGATAGGCTAGTACTTTGAAAGAGATAGCAGGGTCTTGGGAAAGGGTTTTCTCTTTTTTTCATTTAAGCACTTTATATGGGATACAAAATTATTCTAATCATAGCAGGTGGGGGAAGAGTAGAAATAAATTTAAAAGAAGGGACCTAGGTAGAGGAGGAATTAAAAAGAAAGGAACTCAACTCAGGTGCTTATGAAAATATGAAGCAGGTTTGGAATCACTGAATTAGATCTGCTTTATGACAGTGATTGAGACTATTTTGGAGAGAAGGTGGTATCTGCTGGAATCTTTTTTTTTTTTTTTTTTTGAGACAGAGTCTCGCTTGTTGCCCAGGCTAGAGTGAGTGCCATGGCATCAGCCTAGCTCACAGCAACCTCAAACTCCTGGGCTCAAGCAATCCTGCTGCCTCAGCCTCCCGAGTAGCTGGACTACAGGCATGCGCCACCATGCCGGCTAATTTATATATATTAGTTGACCAATTAATTTTTCTATTTATAGTAGAGACGGGCGCTCTGCTCAGGCTGGTTTCGAACTCCTGACCTCGAGCAATCCGCCCGCCTCAGCCTCCCAGAGTGCTAGGATTACAGGCGTGAGCCACCGCGCCCGGCTTTCTGCTGGAATCTTTAACCCTGTGATTTGAAGGGTGGAAATGGCAGCTACCCTGATTTGCTCCCATCCTGAAAGCTAAAGACAGAGAAAAGTACAGTTGCTTCTCTGAGAAGCAAAGATGCTTTCTACCATGCTTCTAAGATGGTGTAAGAGTCTCTTCAAGAGGCTTCACCAGGAAGGAAAAAATGAAAGAGAGCAAGAGGAAAGCCATAGCATTCTCTGGCTGTGTTTCATGCCATTGCTCCTAGTCACATCCCCTGTGCAAACCACTCAGGTTCAGCTATCTCCATCCGGGGAGGTTAAGCCTCCCTCATTACTACTCCGATTACCTCCCCTCTACCATCTCTACTCTAGGGTCTCAGGAAGCCCCAGAGCAGAAAGCTGAAAGCTAGGTGAAGACTTGGTTTCCAGGACCTCTTCCAAAAGCTCTCTTACTAACTAGTATAGGAAAGGGAGAGGGAAGCCTGGCCTTTGCTTCGGTGGGTTCCTTAGGTTTCGGAGACATCCCTTGGCCACTGTCAAAGGAAGGTGGCCATTTGAATGGTTGCTCCGCATCAAAAAAGCCCTGCCAGAGAGAGGGGCCTCAGGCCCTGGTTCTTTCCAGGTGTCAGGTGTGGCCCTCAGTTCCCAACCCTCCAGGCACCAGCAGCGAAGGCGCACAGGCCCTGGGGCTCAGATTGGTCTCCCGCCCTACCTACTGGGACAGGAAGGGGTTTTCTTGAATGATAAAGCAGATTCCTGGCTGATACTTAGGAAGGAATATTTAGCATAGGAAGGTCAGACAATTTAAAAAGTCTGGGTCCAGAAGATAAAAATCTCTGAAAATGACTGAGTTTTGAAGCCAGAAAGTTAATGGTTACAGATAAAAAGGAGAAAGGAACAGAAGTGATGTGATTTGGGAGCATACTAAAGGACATCTGGCCAGGTAAAGGAAATGAGTGATAATGTGTTTTTAATGTGGTCTTTCAAGTGGCCCATAGGCGAGATACTAATTTCACTTATGCAACCATTTTCCCCTGCTGTGTATCAGGCAGTGTGCACTGGAGATACAAAGTTAAATAAGACAGTTTTTAAAACTTATTTTCAGTACAAATTACAGTAAGAAATGTAATTTCTGTCTTAACCCATTTTATATACATGCATATTTAACTAAATTTCTCGAAATTATACTTAAATCCTTGTCGTGCTCAGTGTTCTCATATTTTCTTTTCTAATGTGTTGAAAAACTTGTTGCGACTCACTATATAGATTTATCTATTTATGGTAGATTGAGTCCTTCTGTTTGGAAAACGTTGACGTAATCTACCACCTTTGCCCTGGTAAATACGTGTAGCTAAGAGAAGGGACAAACATAAGTAACTGTATAGTATGGAAAGGAAGGCTTATGGGAATCCAGCTGAAAGCAATTAAGAGCAATTGCTTCTGCATTGTTGGTGGGACTGACAGTAGAATTTGGGGGTGATTTTACAGAGAAGTGCCACTTAGACATTACAGATGGAGTAGGATTTTTTCAGAGGGACAAGTTGGAGAACATAATTTCCAGTGGAGAGAACAGCAGGGGCAAATATTGTGAGGCATTAATATATGTGGTATGTTCAGGAAATGGTCAGTAATCTGCAGCTGGTGCTGGGGGTGGGGTGGGTAACTCCAGGTTTTATACTAGGTGCTGATGGGGAATTAATCAAAGATAAAATGGAAAATACTGGTTGGGGCCAGATTGAAATTACTTTTTAAAATTATACTTAGGAGTTTTGTATATTACTTAGCAAGGAAAGTTTTAGCAGGTGAGTGATATATGATTTGGGGCTTAGAAGTCTCGCTCTGGCAGCTTTGTGAAAGATTGAGGGAGGCAAGTCTGGAGCCGGGGAGATGTAATCACGGTGGTGATGCGATGGAGGGGGAATGGGCTCAATCTAGACACCTGCAAGTTGCATGTCTAAAAGAAATACTGATAGTGCCCTCACCTGTCAGAGGAGGCAGATGGAAACTGCTACTCTGGACCTAAACCATTACAAGAGGGAGGAATTGGTTGGCAAGTAGAAATAGTAGGACTAGTGGGAGAAAAGGTCCATGAAATTTTGGAGCTCATGGCAATCAAATCTTTAAGGAGGTGGCTGTTAAGTAATTCAGAGAACAGACATTATTCCATGTCATGAGACTGGGAGGAGGAAGGCTTGAGAGACCCGGAAGGCTAAAATGCAGTTTGGGGAAAGGATCCGAAGGGAGAGGAAGGAGGAGGTGCCTGAAGAAGCTGGTGTGGTTGCGCTGAAGCTGTCCGAGCACACATTCCGAAAGGGCTCAGACAAGAGGGGCATATGTGAGGTGAACAGATTAGGGTAGCACAGGCTTTTAAGAGCAGTGTTAGGAAAGCTAATGTGATTGAAAGCCAAGATTGTAAAAATGAAACAAGAAAGGTTTTTCAGCATTATGTGGGAGTATGAAGAACAAGGAAGTCTTCTGCTTGGGCTGGATGGGGCAGATTCATTCATTCAATGCTTAGTTATCTTGTGTGTGCCTACTGTGGGTTTTATAGGCAAAAGGGAGTGGAATGCATAAATTCTTATTTTCTTTTGCCTTTGGCAAAAAGGATGGTTTTTCAAAGCAAATAGAATGAAGTGAAGTTGCCAAGAAAAGCCCTCAATAGGTAGAGGTTTTAGGTAGGTCACTTGGCTCCTATTGCTTGGTTGAATTACATTCCTTGGCCCTGAAGCAGCTTGCTCATGAAGTCACTGTTAGTGATCTTTGAGGATTTGAGGAGAAAGGAAAACATGCTGAAGCAGATGGGCAAATTAACTTTCAATAAAGGGCAGGTGTGTTTTGCAAATCATAAAGTAGTAACCTTGAGGTCAAATTCAGGCAAGATTCTAGAGGCTTTTTGTAGTTTTTGTGAAAAGTGTGGTTTCTGCTTTAGATCCCAATTTTGCCAGTTTTTAAATGAACTTAGGAAATGACAATCTTTAAGTCTTTCTTCATCTATAAAATGAAGTGTAATAGTACCCATTTAATAGTGAATTTAGAGGATTGAATAAGATAATACATACATACACACACACATATATACATATATATATATAAGTTCTAGTACAGGATCTGGCCCATTCAATAAGTGGTAGCTGTTGAAGACCTATGGGCCTTTCTAGATGCAAATTTATTGCATTTATCAATGGAAGTTTAGCTGAGTGTGGTGGCAAACATAACTACTCCAGAGGCTGAGGCAGGAGGATCACTTGAGCCCAGTTCAGGGCTTGTAGTGCCCTATGATTGGGCTTATGGATAGCTACTTCACTCCAGCCTGAGCAACATATGGAGACCCTCTATTTAAATGAAAGAATGAATGAATGGAAGTTTGAGCACTTCAAAGAAATGATGAGCCAGCGTGAATTTACATCTGGAAAGGCCCATGGGTCTTTGACCTGTTGAGGTTCTTTCATTTGATGCTTTTCAAATTAACATAGTACATATGTGTCAAAACAGTGGAAACAATACAAGTGACATACTCCTCCCCTCTTGCTCTGTTGCTAGAGTGCAGTGGCATCCTCATAGCTCACTGTAGCCTCAAATTCCTGGGCTCAGGCGATCATCCTGCCTCAGCCTCCCAGAGCCCTAGGATCACAGGTGCAAGCCATTGTGCCCAGCCTAGTTTTTTAAAAACAATTATGTAGTCTATTTCTTTTATTAGAAATGGCTGAAGAATGTTTTTTCAGCATCTATGGAAAGGATCATTAATAATGAATATAGAGAATTTTGCGTTTAGTCAACCACCAGATTGTGTTACAACCTAAATGCTATTATTAATTAGGAAGGAGAGTGATCACTGCTGTTAATAAAGGTTTCAGAGAGTAGTTGGGACTCAAGATAATTTGACTGATTTGATTCTTGCCTTTCCTTTTCATTTTAGTAAATACAGAAATAAATCATGAAATCCCCAAAGGGTATGGTAGGCAAAGACTATTGCTAGACCTGAATATGTCAACAATTCTCAAACTTTTTGGGTCTCTGGATCCCTTTTACATTTCTAAGAAGTTGAGGATTCCCAAAGAGCTTTTGTTTATGTGGGTTATATCTACTGATGTTTACCAATTTAGAAGTTAAATAGAATTTTAAAGCTTATTATTTAAAAGTAACCATAATAAATCCATTACATGTTTATGTAAATATTTTGTTTTTGAAAACCAAAGCTATTTAATGAGAAGATTGGGATTGTTTTCCATTTTTACCAGTCTCTTTAAAGTTTGCCTAAATAGAAGTTGGCATTGGCCGGGCGCGGTGGCTCACGCCTGTAATCCTAGCTCTCTAGGAGGCCAAGGCGGGCGGATTGCTCGAGGTTAGGAGTTCGAAACCAGCCTGAGCAAGAGCGAGACCCCGTCTCTACTATAAATAGAAAGAAATTAATTGGCCAACTAATATATATACAAAAAATTAGCCGGGCATGGTGGCGCATGCCTGTAGTCCCAGCTACTTGGGAGGCTGAGGCAGGAGGATTGCTTGAGCCAGGAGTTGGAGGTTGCTGTGAGCTAGGCTGACGCCATGGCACTCACTCTAGCCTGGGCAACAAAGAGAGACTCTGTCTCAAAAAAAAAAATAGAAGTTGGCATGGATAGAGTGAATCTGCCTCTGCATTCACTCTGTTGCAATATCAGGTCACATAGCCTCAGGAAAACTCATCTGTATTCTTAGGAGACAGTGAAAGTAAAAAAGACATCTTAGTATGATAATGAAAATAGTTGCGACCTCATGGAGCCCCTGAAAGGGTGTCAGTTCCTCCTTCCCTTTGCCAGTCACTGCTGTATGCTGTTCATGACTTCTGTGATCCTTGGTATGTGGCACATGTTCCATCAACTCTTTGCTTTGCTTTGTTGCAGAGTCCTTTGGGCAGAACTATCCAGAGGTAAGAGTATTGTTTTCTTGTGATTTTTAGGAACATGGTAACTACTTGTGGTTTGTTAGTATGGAAAATGCTTTTTGGTCCTTGTTTTTTGACAAACGTTGAGTGTGATAATATATCTTTTGCTATGATGAGGAAGTAAATATAATTTTGATTGGGGGAAATAGATAGGCGATATTGGCTGGAAATCTTACCATAATGTTGTAATCTTTTTTTTTTTGAGACAGAGTCTCGCTTTGTTGCCCAGGCTAGAATGAGTGTCATGGCGTCAGCCTAGCTCACAGCAACTTCAAACTCCTGGGCTCAAGCGATCCTGCTGCCTCGGCCTCCCAAGTAGCTGGGACTATAGGCATGCGCCACCATGCTCAGCTGATTTTTTCCTATATATATTAGTTGGCCAATTAATTTCTTTCTATTTATAATAGAGGTGGGGTCTCGATCTTGCTCAGGCTGGTTTCAAACTCCTGACGTTGAGCAATCCGCCCGCCTCGGCCTCCTAGAGTGCTAGGATTACAGGCATGAGGCACCGCGCCCGGCCATAATGTTGTAATATTACAGTTCATTTTCCTTTAAATGAAAAAAAAACAAACAAACTTTAATTGAAGGTTTTTCCACAAACAGCACCATTACCTGTACATGTTTTTTTTTCTGTGTGCTTTTCCAGTTTTGATCATGCTTTTACAGTAATAATATGTATGCTATAAGTATACTTTACTTTCTTTTTTTTGAGACAGAGTCCACTCTGTTGCCTGGGCTAGAGTGCTGTGGCATCAGCCTCGCTCACAGCAACCTCAAACTCCTGGGCTCAGGTGATCCTCCTGCCTCAGCCTCCCAAGTAGCAGGGTCTACAGGCACGCGCCATCATGCCCCGATAATTTTTTTACGTATATACTTTTAGTAGTCGAGCTAATCTCTTTCTATTTTTTTTTTAGTAGAGATGGGGTCTCGCTCTTGCTCAGACTGGTCTCAAACTCTTGAGCTCAAATGATCAGCCCGCCTCAGCTTCCCAGAGTGCTAGGATTACAGGCCGGAGCCACGCACGCACCGGCCGCTGCTACTTTCTTAATGTAAAAATATTTTTTAACACTTGAATATGTTTCGATATATCATTGTGTATTATTTTACTTAGCTTTTTTATTTTTGGAGAGCAGAGTCTCAACTTTGTTGCCCAGGCTGAAAGTGACGTGCATTACAGACAACAAAACATCACAGCACCTCCACCCCATAATAAAAGACTATCATGCCATCAGCCCAGCCTAACACAGAGGGGATCAGCATAACAGACCACAAAAACATGCCGCCTAATTTTGTATATAATTAGTTGGCGCAACTAATTTCGTCATTTATAGTAAAAAAAAAAAAAAAGACGGGGTCTCGCTCTTGCTCAGGCCTGGTTTTCGAAGCTCCTGACCATCCGCCGGGCAATCCGCCGCCGCTCCGGCCTCCCAGAGAGCTACGGATTAGGCAGGCGTGAGGCCACATCGCGCCCCCGCCAATATATAAAATAATTTGACTTCCCAAATGCTACACATATAGGCTACTCCAGGGCTTTTTGTTTTAAATACTTTTTTTTTGGAATAAATTCTCTGAACTATGGTTACTGGATCAACAGGTATGACTCTTTTAATGACTTGTGTTATATTTATTTTGCCAATTTGCCCTCCAAAAAGTTTGTACTAAGTGATAGTGGTAATGTAAGGGATTGATTACATATGTTTCCAAAAATCCATAGTTGGCTTTTATAAATATTTCTTCATTTTAGCTATTTTAATAGGTACAAAGAGGTTAGTATGGTATACATTATAATTTAAATACAGGCCAGGAACGATGGCTCACACCTGTAATCCTAGCACTCTGGGAGGCCGAGGCGGGAGGGGATCGCTCAAGGTCAGGAGTTTGAGACCAGCAACAGTGAGATCCCATCTCTACTAAAAATAGAAAGAAATTAATTGGCCAACTAAAAATATATAGAAAAAATTAGCTGGGCATGGTGGCATGTGCCTGTAGTCCCAGCTACTCGGGAGGCTGAGGCAGGAGGATTGCTTGAGCCTAGGAGTTTGAGGTTGCTGTGAGCTAGGCTGACACCATGGCACTCCAGCCTGGGCAACAGAGTGAGACTCTTGTCTCAAAAAAAAAAAAATTCAATAGAAGTTTCATAAATGATAGAGAAATTTCAGAAAATAATTTGGCTGCCTGGCTATTATTGTCTGTATTCTTGTATTTGTTTTAATTTTTAGGAGGCTGATGGAACTTTGGATTGTATCAGCATGGCCCTGACTTGCACCTTTAACAGATGGGGCACACTGCTTGCAGTTGGCTGTAATGATGGCCGGATTGTCATCTGGGATTTCTTGACAAGAGGCATTGCTAAAATAATTAGTGCACACATCCATCCAGTCTGTTCTTTATGGTAAGGAATTTTTAAATTAACATGTTAAATATGAAGGGAATGAATGATGACACTATTTGCCAATCTCAATGTAGACATTTTAATATTTAAAGTTTTAAATATTCAGCCATTAGTAATATAGTTTCTCATAGTTTATGTAGAATCCTGAACCCATGCCGTCCCTGAAGCACCTTTGTGAGGAGAAATTCATTGCAGTATGGATCTCTGTCAGGCTCTGTCTGAGAATATCCTAAGACTGAAATGAAATACTGCAGCTGTAGTATAATTGCGATATTTACCTTTCATTTCAAGTAAAAAGTCTTGGTTAGGACTGAAAGTCATCTAGTCCAGCTTTGTCTGAGTTACTGAATTCCAGCAATTTTAGTGATCACAAGCCTGCCTGTTCCTTCAGTGAAATATACTTATTAAGGCTTTTTGTATCAAAGAAAGAAATAGCTGAAATCTGCTGTTATATAAATTCTCATTGATTTTACTCTTTTTTTTTTTCTTTTTTTTTTTCTTTTTTTTTTTTCTTTTTTTTTCTCCTTTTTTTTTTCTTTCAGCATATTATGGGGGTACAGATTTTAAGGTTTCAATAAATGCCCATTTCCTCCCCTCCCCCACAAGTCTGAGTCTCCAGCATGACCATCCCCCAGATGGTGCACATCTCACTCATTATATATGTATATACCCGCCCCTCTCCCACCTGCCCAATACCCTATTACTGTAGTACCTATGTGACCACTTAGGTGCTGCTCAGTTAATACCAATTTGCTGGTGAGTACATGTGGTGCTTGTTTTTCCATTCTTGGGAAACTTCACTTAATAGTATGGGTTCCAGCTCTAACCAGGAAAATATAAGATGTGCTGTATCACCATTGTTTCTTAGAGGTGAATAGTGATTTTACTCTTACTCTCTGAAATTATTTGCTTCAGAAAATTTGATTTTGAGGCAGCATATTTAAAAAAAATGAATTTGGGGCCAACAAAAAGCCTCTAATCAGATTAAGTTTAATTAAATTGTAACTGGTTCCTTTTGTCTGAATGGAAGCAGTAGTATATTACAAAACACGGAATGAGAGGATGCCTGAATCCCAGTCTAGTTTTGGCCGTGAATATACTGGTGGCTTGGGCCAAAACTTTCATATGCAAAATGTAAGCACTGGTGTAGATGATCCGCTGGTTCCTTCCTGCTCCTTTGTGTTTCTTTTTGTATATTCTTGCAGTAAAGATCTAAATAGCTTTAAGAAATATATATACAATTTACATAACATAAAATTCACACAGTTAAAGTGTACAATTCACAGGTTTTTATATATTCAGAGTTGTGTAACCATTATCACAGTTTAATTTTAGAATGCCTCCCTATTAAAAATGGGTGGCCAGGTGCTGGTGGCTCATGCCTTTGATCCTAGCACTTTGGGAGGCTGAGGTGGGGGGATTACTTGAGATCAGGAGTTCGAGACCAGCCTGAGCAAGAGCAAGACCCCATCTCTACTATAAGTAGAAAAAATTAGCTGGGCATGGTGGCATGTGCCTGTAGTCCCAGCTACTGGGGAGGCTGAGGCAGGATTGCTTGAGCCCAGGAGTTTGAGGTTGTAGTGAGCTGTGATGATGCCACTGCATTCTAGCCAAGACAACAGAGTGACACTGTCTCAGAAAAAAGAAAAAAAAACAGTGTGTATCTATTTTTTTATAAAGTTATATACTCATCATTTAAAAAAATCATGGAAAATAAAAGTAGAAATAACTGATATTTTCCATAGTCTTACTATCTAGATGTTAATACTATAAATATTTTGATAAATTTCTGTAGTTTTTTTAAAGCATAGTTTGTGATGGTGCTATATTCTTTTATATCGTGCCTTTTTCTTCCTAATGGTGTCTAGACATTTTCTTGTTTGAGTATCCTTTAAAAACTCTTTATGGCTACATATCTTCTGATGAATAAACCATAATTTACTTAACCATATATTGTTTTCTTCTGTTACTTAATATTTAGCAAACATCTTTGTGTATAAAGTTTTTCTCTCATATATTCATTCGTTCAGCAACTGTCAGACATGAATTACATTCCTGGTACTATGTTAGGCACTGGTGACACAAAAACAAATGAGAAATTCTTGATTATTAGGGTGAGATGGGTGTGTGTACAGGTACATGTAATAAAGCTTTGTATGAGAACTATGTTTGAGATTTAGTGGAGGTAAATGTGCAAAGAAGGAAGTGATTAGTTGTATCAGAGGGCAGAAAAAGGCTTCATAGATGAGATTAATTTCTAACCTCAAACTTGTAAGATGAATAGTTGTTTGCCAGGTGTATTCCAGGTCACGGGCACTGTACAGACAGGGGCATATCAGCTTGAAACAAGTATGGTAAGATGGGGAACTACAGCTATTTCAGGGTAGCTGGATTGTGGTGTGGGAAGAGTCTCGGTGAACTGAGATCCTCGTGGAGAACCTTGTATGCCATACTCATGAATTTTAACCTTGTTTTGTGTGTATTGTGAAGTTGAAAGATTTTGGTGGGAAAATGACATGATTAGTTTTTATTTATTTATTTTTTTAGAGACAGGGTCTTGCTCTGTTTCCCAGACTGGAGTGCAGTGGTGTGATCATAGCTCATTGCAGCCTGCAGCTCATGGGCTCAAGCGATCCTCCTGCCTCAGCCTCTTGCGTAGCTAGGACTACAGGTGTGCATCACCATCCCTGGCTGAGTTTGAACTCCTGGCCTCAAGTAGCCCTCCAGCCACAGCCTCCCAAAGCACTAGGATTACAGGCGTGAGCTACCCTACTCTGCTTGAGCTTTTATTTTAGAAAGATCTTTAGAGCAACACATGGGAAAAGAGATTGAATGGAACTGAGAGTGAAGATAGGAGAACTGCTGCGGTCTAGGCTAGAGATGATGAGAGTTGCGGTAGGATTGGAGCCAAGTGAGACAAATATGAGAAATGGTAGAAATAAGAGGACTTAGTCATTAATTAGAATAGGGGTATGAGTGAATTGGAAAAGTAAAAATGTTTCTTGGGTTTTTGGCTTGGCTGAAGATATTCATTAATGTAAGATTTGAGGGGAGAGTAGTGAGTTTGAGATCATAGTTGCATGTCTCCTGTTATATTTATGGTATTTTATTATAAATAATTGTTTTCTGGCATCTTCCCTGTACGATGGTAAGTGCAGTGAGTATAGGAACCCTGTCTGCCATTTCACTGCCATGTTCCCAGCTTCTAGAGTCATACCTGGTATACAATAAGCATTTGGATGTTTGCTGGATGAATGGGGGTGTCCTGGTGGAGATATGCAGCAGGCATTTGATTTATGATTTTTCATTACAGTAGACTTCCAGAAGTGTGTTATTAGGCGGTCAAAGGGTATGAATAGCGAGAGTTTTTTTTCTCTCCTCCAACATTTTTAACTTTTTAAAATCACAAAGTCTATATTTGATTTTTAAACACTTTTTTAAAAAAAAACAAATATAGCAAGGCGTGGTGGCTCACGCTTGTAATCCTAGCACTCTGGGAGGCTGAGGCGGGTGATTGCTCGAGGTCAGGAGTTCGAAACCACCCTGAGCGAAACCCCGTCTCTACTAAAAAATAGAAAGAAATTAATGGACCAACTAAAAATATAGATACAAAAAATTAGCCGGGCATGGTGGCGCATGCCTGTAGTCCCAGCTACTTGGGAGGCTGAGGCAGGAGGATCACTTGAGCCCAGGAGTCTGTGGTTGCTGTGAGCTAGGCTGACGCCACGGCACTCACTCTAGCCTGGGCAACAAAAGTGAGACTCTGTCTCAAAAAAATATATATATATATAAGTATGCAAAGTAAAAAATGAAAGTCCTTTGTCTACTTCTTGGAGTACACACTGTTAAAGAGTATGGAATACATCTTATCTGTAACATAGTTATATCTCTGTCTGTCTAAGACAACATAAATACATATCCACATATGTTTTTAAACAAAAATGGAGCCACACCATACATTTTGTTCTGTAGCTTGCTTTTCCACTTAACATATAGTGGATCTTTTTCTGTGTCTCATTATTTTAAATAATTGTCTATATATTATATATAACAATTATTTAACTGTTCCCTAATTTTTTTTTTTTTGAGACAGAGTATCACTCTGTCACCCGGGCTAGAGTGCAGTGGTGTCATCATAGCTCACAGCAATCTCAAACTCCTGGGCTCAAGTGATTCTCCTGCCTCAGCCTCTCAAGTAGCTGGAACTACAGGTGTGCGCCACCATGCCCGCCTAATTTTTCTGTGTTTTGTAGAGGTGGGGTCTCACTCTTGCTCAGTCTGGTCTCAAACTCCTGGCCTCAAGCAGTCCTCCCACATCAGCCTCCCGGAGTGCTAGGATTACGAGCATGAGCCACTGTGCCAGGCCTAGAATATACCTTCATGTATTATTTTAATCTTTGTGTAACATTTGAACATATTAGCGACTAAGGAAGTTTCACCAAGAGAAGTTTTATATAAGTATGATCTGTGATCAATTGTTAGCTGATTTTGTGGAAAACATAAAGAAATGGTCCAGGAAATAGAAACGAAACTAGAAGGTAGTGAACTGAAGTTGTAGGGAAATGAATGCTTACTCAGAATGAAGAACTCTCAAGCAAAGGTGCTAGGATGGGATAGATGGTCCAGGAAAGACCTTCAGTGGGACTGCCCCTGCTTAGGCTTGCTGCCTTCTTTTTGAGGATGCTACAGAAGAAACTTGATTTTTAAGATTCTTAAAGACCTGTCTGTCTTTGGGAAAGAATTAGAATTTTCAGATATGAGAACATATGGTAATTCCTAATTCTTGAGCTTATGAAGTTTGGAATTGAAGAATACTTTTTTTTTTTAAGACAAAGTCTCACTTTGTTGCCCAGGCTAGAATGAGTGCCGTGGCATCAGCCTAGCTCACAGCAACCTCAGACTCCTGGGCTCAAGTGATTCTCCTGCCTCAGCCTCCCAAGTAGCTGGGACTACAGGCATGCGCCACCATGCCCGGCTAATTTTTTCTATATATTTTTAGTTGATCGATTAATTTCTTTCTATTTTTAGTAGAGAGAGGGACTCACTCTTGCTCAGGCTGGTTTTGAACTCCTGAACTCAAGCAATCTGCCCACCTTGGCCTCCCAGAGTGCTAGGATTACAGGCGTGAGCTACTGTGCCCGGCCAAGAATACATTTTTTTTAAATGAGAGGAACCTCTTAGTTTTTAGTTCTGTTTATAATTTAATTTTTAAAATCAGATTTCCCTCCGTTATAGCAGAAATACAAGCTTACTGTGAAAGAAAAAATATAATATTGTGGAAGCATTTAAAGGGACAGTGGAATCCTAACAAACATTTTGTAGTCAAATTGTGCTTTTAAAGGTTTATCAAAATAGCAACACAACCTGTCTTTTGTTTCTCCTCACTTTTCATGTTGTGCCATTCCCAGTGGACTTCTGTTTTGGGGGACTGTTTCTTCTGATACTTACCTTCACATTTCTAAATAACATATATATTGCTTTTTCTTGGTTTGTTATTTCAGAAATTAATTACAGGCTTCCTGTTACAGTGTATTTGAATTTTAACTCACCCTCTCATCCTTCCACCATCTGTTGAAATTGGGTGAGCTGCTGGCTCTTTTGTAGTGAACTCTCATGTTTTAACATCTTTAGGCCTCTTCTTGGAGGTTCACATTCTCTGGAATGTTCCTTTAATTGTCTTTCTTAAGGGAAATCCTGGCTATTGGTGTTCTAGAGCTGGTGGGAGAGAGATACCAGAGTCGTTTTGTGTGCAAACTTGAACTTAATCCTCCATATCCACTTCCTCAGCTTACCCCTGCCGCCTTGTGTCCCTGGAGTCCTGAGTCTGGGAGTATATCTTATCTCTGATACAAATAATTATTAATATTCTCTGAGCACTTATTACGTGCCAGGCATTGGGCTAAGAGTTTTGTATGTATTTAATTCTCTGCAGGTAGATACTGTTTTTATTCCTGTGGTTTAGATGAGGAAATTGAAGCTCATAAAAGTTGTATAACTTGCGATTACATTGCCTGCTAAGTTCTTTTTTTTTTTTTTTTTTTGAGACAGAGTCTTGCTTTGTTGCCCAGGCTAGAGTGAGTGCTGTGGCGTTAGCCTAGCTCACAGCAACCTCAAACTCCTGGGCTCGAGTGATCCTTCTGCCTCAGCCTCCCGAGTAGCTAGGACTACAGGCATGCGCCACCATGCCCGGCTGATTTTTTATATATAGATCAGTTGGCCAATTAATTTCTTTCTATTTATAGTAGAGACGGGGGTCTCACTCTTGCTCAGGCTGGTTTTGAACTCCTGACCTTGAGCAATCCGCCCGCCTCGGCCTCCCAAGAGCTAGGATTACAGGCGTGAGCCACAGCGCCCGGCCGCCTGCTAAGTTCTTTAGTAGCAACTCCTCTTCATTTCAAAATTTGTGTAAATATTGGTAGCGGATTTCTTTTTCTGTTTGTTCCCTCTGGTTTTTATGTCTGTTTCCTACCTTCCTGTGGGTTACTGGAACAAGTTTTTAGAATTCCATTTTGATTTATCTATAGCTTTTTTTTTTTTTTTTTTTGAAAGAGAGTCTCACTTTGTTGCCCAGGCTAGAGTGAGTGCCGTGGCATCAGCCTGGCTCACAGCAACCTCAATCTCCGGGGCTCAGCGATCCTCCTGCCTCAGCCTCCCGAGTGGCTGGGACTACTAATTTTTTGTATATATATTTTTAGTTGGTCAATTAATTTATTTCTATTTTTGGTAGAGACGGGGTCTCGCTCAGGCTGGTTTCGAACTCCCGACCTTGAGCAATCCGCCCGCCTCGGCCTCCCAAAGTGCTAGGATTACAGGCGTGAGCCACCACGCCTGGCTATAGCGTTTTTTAGTTATTTCTTTGAATAACTTTTTAGTGGTTACTAGGTATTATATCATATATCCATAATTTATCACAGTCTGCTGTTGTTGACATTTTACCAGTTCAAGTGAAGTATAGAAACCTAACCTTTCTTTTATCTCGTTCTTCCTTGTGTATAATTGTCTTAACTATTCCCTTACATTCATTGAGACCCACATAAGACAGCGTTAAATGTTTGCTTTAAACATCAAAACTCAAGAAGAGAAAAGCATTTTATTTACCCACATTTTTATATTCCTTTCATTGTTCTTGCTTCCTTCCTGATGTTCTAAGCTTCCTCCTTTTATCTTTTCCTTTCCATTTAGAGAACTGTATTTAGTTCTTTTAGGGGTATATGTGCTGGGAACAAGTGTCTTGATTTACCCCTTTGTTGCTGGGTTGACAGTTCTTTTCTTTCAGCACTTGAAAAATGTGCTGCTTCATTCTGGCCTCCACGGTTTCTGATGAGAAATCTGCTGTCATTTGAATTATTTTTCCCCATGGGAAAGGTGTTATTTTTCACTTGCTTTCAAGATTTTTTTCTTTGTTTAGTTTTCAGAAGTTTGTCTATGTGTCTTGGAGTAGATTTCTTTGGGCTCATGCTGTTTTGATGTTTACTCAGCTTCTTGAATCTGTAGTTTTTATATCTGTTGCCAAATTTGGGGAAATTTCAGCCATTATTTCTTCAAATACTTTTAAACCTCGCTCTCTTTGTTCTGTCCTTCCGGGCCTCTGATGATGTGGATATTATTAGTTATTTTTGTTTTAGTCCCACACGTCTCTGAGGCTCTGTTCTTCTTTTTTTTTTTTAAGTTTATTTTCTCTGTATTGTTTAGGTAATTTTTATTGTTCTGTCTTCCAGTTCACTGATTCTTTCCTCTTTTTTTTTCCCATTGGCCACTCAATTCATCTATTGAGTTTTCTTTATTTCAGTTATTTTCAGTTCCAAAATTCCCATTTGGTGCTTTTTCTCTGTATATTCTGTTTCTTTGACAAGACTTTCTTTTTTTTTTTTAGATTGTGGAACACTTTTATTATTTTTTTTTTTTTATTTTTGAATTTTTTTATTTTGGCATATTATGGAGGTACAGATTAAGACTTTCTTTTTCATTTGTTTCAGGCATGTTCATAATAGGTGGTCAAATCATTTTTATGATGGCTGCATTAAAATCCTTTTCAGATAATTCTAACATCTATGTCTTCTCTACATTAATATCTGTTGACTGACTTTTCTTATTCAGTTCAAGATTTTCCTTGTTCTTGAGTTGTGACAAGTGATTTTTCAGTTGAAATCTGCTGAGCATGTGGGTTATTGTTATGAGACTGTATGTTTTTTTTTTTTTTGTAAGAGATAGGGTCTCACACTGTTACCCAGACCCCAGACTGAAGTGCAGTGGCTCATAGCCGCTCACTGCAGCCTCGAACTCCTGGGCTCAAGTGATCCTCCTGCCTTAGCTTCCCAAGTAGTTGGGAGTATAGGCGTGTGCTACCATGCCCGGCTAATTTTTAAAAATGTTTATTTTGTAGAGATGGTGTCTAGCTATGTTATTCCCAGGCTGGTCTTGAACTCGTGGGCTCAAATGATACTCTCGCCCTGGGCTCTCAAAATGCTGGAATTATAGGCATGAGCTACCTACCATGCATAGCCCACGAATCTCTCTTATTTCACCAAACACTTGTGGTATTAACTTGAAATACTAAGAGCTTCCATTATTAGATATGAAAACATTCTTATTTGTACCTTAGTTAGGAAAGCTTGTTTTGTGGATTTGAGTATATGTTAAGAAAAAAACAACAAACATCGCTGTCCTGTGCAATTAGGACAATGTGTGTGACTCGTACATTTTCTCTAAAAGAGTGATATGTACCTTAACTTAGACTATGTACTAAATTACCCCTTTTTCTCCCCAGCTGGAGTCGAGATGGTCATAAGCTCGTGAGTGCTTCCACTGATAACATAGTGTCACAGTGGGATGTTCTTTCAGGCGACTGCGACCAGAGGTTTCGATTCCCTTCACCCATCTTAAAAGTCCAGTATCATCCACGAGATCAGTATGTTTAAGTAATTCCTTCCTGGGGTGGGGTCTAATTCTATATGGATTAGGTCTGGGCTTATGATAATTTTAAGGTTTTAGGAGGTAAACACACACCTCTTCAAACCTTCTACATAAAATCTTTCTGTTTAGGTTGGCTCTGCTGAATACATTTAAGGAGAATGTTACTATATTATGTAATTTAAAACTGGCCAATATTAAGACTTTGGAAATGGCAAAAGGTGGGAATAAGTACAATCACTGGGCCGTGACCTGGGTTTTTTTCCCCCTTTGACTATTTGGATTTCTTTAGGAGGGGGAAACAGTTCAGTATTAAAGCTACATTTAAGAAAATGGGTTACTCACCATTGTATTACCCAGACATAATTGTTTTCATTTCCCTGGCTTCTCTTTTAGTCAAGTTTTCTTTAAGTATAAAGCTTATTATATAGTGCCTCATGTCTCAATATGTTTTAAATGCACACAAATAGGTGTGTTTGTATAGTTGCAATCAATATTTTGCCTTTTCACTTTATTTCATATTTTACTAGTTTGCTATATCTTCATATTTATTTTGGATGATTATATTTTATTTGCCCAAGTAGGATCCGTAATTTTACTATCTTTTCCCTGTTATTAGACATTTGGAAATTATGTTTTCACTATTTCAGATTTGCTTGGGCTGGGAGAGTTGATGAGTGTTGTGGACAGGGATCAGGGAAAAGGACAGGGAATCAGCCTGCTGATGCCAAAGCAACAGCCAATGTACTGTTCATATTTTTAAACAGGAACAAGGTTCTCGTGTGTCCCATGAAATCTGCTCCTGTCATGTTGACCCTTTCAGATTCCAAACATGTTGTTCTGCCGGTAGACGATGACTCCGATTTGAACGTGGTGGCTTCTTTTGATAGGCGAGGGGAATATATTTATACGGGAAATGCAAAAGGCAAGGTAAGCCTTGAAGCCTACAAGTTGGTAAAATAAGGATCAAGCATTTTGTGCATTGGCTTATTTCATGTTTCCTTGGTTTGAAATTTCTTTTATTCCTGGACTAAGCATGACTTCTGCCTGTAGCAAATATAGGCATATAGCAAATATGCCTTAATAATAATTGCTGTTTTTTAAATTTAGAGTGGTCAGAGATTATTTGACCTAGAAAACGGTGAAAGAGCCTTAACTAGATGCTAGTAATGAAGGGACATTCCTAAATTATAAAATTTAAAAGTTGTGTTATCAACTGGAACACTGCTGATGAAAATAGATGTCTTAATACCTAGTTTTATGAAATATTATATAATTCAGCCAGCTTAACCTCTAGAACTGAGATTTTATTATCCTTCCTTTTTTCTTCTTGTTAAAGTTCTGACCTTGTCTTTTGGAATGTGTAAGCCCTTCTGCCTGGGAAACATTGTAGAAGGTGTTTCTTCTGTGTAGTAAGAAGTCAAGTTGGGTGAGCTTTAAGGCCCTTTTTTTTTTTGAGACAGAGTCTAATACCCAGGCTAGAGTACACTGGCATCATCATAGCTCACTGCAACCTGAAACTCCTGGGCTCAAGTGATCCTCCTGCCTCAGCCTCCCCAGTAGCTGGGACTACAGGCACGAGCCACCACACCCAGCTTTTTCTGTTTTCAGTAGAGACAGGGTCTCGCTCTTGCTCAGGTTGATCTCAAACTCCTGAGCTCAAGCAATTTTCCCACCTTGGCCTCCCAGAGTGCTAGGATTACAGGCGTGAGCCACTGCACCTGGCCAAGGTTCTTTTTTTGAGACAGAGTCTCGCTCTGTGTTGCCCAGGCTAGAATGAGTGCTGTGGCGGCAGCCTAGCTCACAGCAACCTCAAACTCCTGGGCTCAAGTGATCATTCTATCTCAGCCTCCTGAGTAGCTGAGACTACACATGCCTGGCTAATTTTTTTTCTATTTTTAGTAGAGACAGAGTCTCACTCTTGCTCAGGCTGGTCTCGGAACTCCTGAGCTCAAGCAGTCCTTCTGCCTTGGCCTCCCAGAGTGCTAGGATTCCAACCAAGCATGAGCCACTGCACAGGGCCCAAGGTTCTTTTTATGTTTAGAATTAAACTAGTTCCATTAGACTCCTTGGTTTTCTTTTGGTGTTTTTTTTTTGACTGGCACACATGGGATAGTAGAATTTCATGTCTATTTTGCAAAGTGGCAGTTTTTAAAAAATTGTGTTAAAATACACACAACATAAAATTTACCATTTTAACTGTTTTTAGGTATACAGTTCAGTAGTATTAAGTATATTTATTTTGTGCAGTGATCACCATCATCTATCCACAGAACTCCTTTCCTCCTGTAAAACTGAAGCTCTGTGCTCATTGAACAATTAACTTCCCCATCCCTGCTCTTCCCTAGCTCCTGGTGGCTACCATTCTGTTTTTTGTATCTCTATGAATTTGACTACTCTGGTACTTCAGACAAGTGGAATCAGACAGAATTTGCCATTTTTGACTGGCTTATTTCACATAGCATAATGTCCTCAAGGTTTATCTATGTCATGTCTCAGAATTTTCTTCCTTTTCAGGGCTCAGTAATATTCCATTGTATGTATATGCCCCATTTTATCTGTTCCTCTGTCAGTGTATACTTGGCTATTGTGAATAATCCTAAACATTTTTATATGATATATAATATTAAATATATATTATAATATAATCCTCTACTTTTTGGCTATTGTGAATAATCCTAAACATCATATTTTAAGAATTGTTTAAAATCTTGTCCTTTATTTGAAGAGACAAAAAGGAAATACTAGTTAATCAGGTTGAATACATAGGAATAGAAATGTTTATGTTTTTACTTAGTCTCTGCCCAATTTTAGAGACAAAAGCCAGAGCTCATTATTAATTATCAGAATACTTACATTTTTTTCTCTCTCTCTCTTTCAAACTTTAGATTTTGGTCCTAAAAACAGATTCTCAGGATCTTGTTGCTTCCTTCAGAGTAACAACTGGAACAAGCAATACCACGGCCATTAAATCAATTGAATTTGCCCGGAAAGGGAGGTAAGATCTTACCTTTCCAGAGACAGGTTTATTTCTTCTTCTTTTTTAAATTAATGATCTCACCAGGGACAATTTTAAAAGTCAGTAGAATGCAAAAATACATTGAGATTTGCAGTTTTTGTGTATATATTTGGTGCTTAGAACCCAAATGCCTGGCACGTAGTAAGCACTAGATAAAGATTAGCTATTATTATAATTCGAACTGATGTCATAAAATTCACATTGTAACTGAACATTCATTTACATAAAACCTATTTATTCTTAATTTTGTATGTTATTCTAATGAGTTTGGTTACCCATTTTAAAAAGTAGATATAGGCCGGGCATGGTAGCTCACGCTTGTAATCCTAGCACTCTGGGAGGCTGAGGCGGGCAGATTGCTCGAGGTCAGGAGTTTGAAACCAGCCTGAGAAAGAGCGAGACCCTGTCTCTACTATAAATAGAAAGAAATTAATTGGCCAACTAATATATATAGAAAAAATTAGCCGGGCATGGTGGTGCATGCCTGTAGTCCCAGCTACTTGGGAGGCTGAGGCAGAAGGATTGCTTGAGTCCAGGAGCTAGGCTGATGCCACGGCATTCACTGTAGCCTGGGCAACAAAGCTAGACTCTCTCTAAATAAATAAATAAATAAATAAATCAACAGAACAGAAGAGGTAATAGTCATATTATTTTGGTTAGCAACACCCATCAATGAAGGACATTCATGTTCAAAATGGCATGATGGCTCATGCCTATAATCCCAGCACTTGGAAGGCCACGGTGGGAGGATCGCTTGAAGCCAGGAGTTGGGGATCAGCCTCGATAACATAGTGAGACCCTGTCTCTACAAAAAGAAAAAAAAAAATAGCTGGTCATGGTGACCCAAGCCTGTAGTCCCAGCTACTGAGGACCCTGAGGAAGGAAGATCGACTGAGTCTAGGAGTTCAAAGATGCAGTGAGCTAGGCCGGGTGCGGTGGCTCACTCTTGTAATCCTAGCACTCTGGGAGGCCGAGGTGGGCGGATTGCTCAAGTTCAAGAGTTCGAAACCAGCCTGAGCAAGAGAGAGACCCTGTCTCTACTGTAAATGGAAAGAAATTAATTGGCCAACTAAAAATATATACAGAAAATCAGTGGGGCATGGTGGTGCATGCCTGTAGTCTCAGATACTTGGGAGGCTGAGCCAGGAGGATCACTTGAGCCCAGGAGTTTGAGGTTGCTGTGAGCCAGGCTGACACCACTGCACTCATTCTAGCCTGGGCAACAAAGTGAGACTCTGTCTCAAAAAAAAAAAAAAAGATGCAGTGAGAAAAGATTACACCACTGCATTCCAGTCTGGGCAATAGACCCACACAGTCCCTGTAGGAAAGTGATGAAATAACTTATTTTGGACAGATTTCTAAGATTTTGATATCATTACAGTAAAAAGTTAGACATTTTAAAATGACACATTTAGTTTAATTCATTAAGAAGAATATATTGTATATATAACAGGCCAGTGAAATGAAATGCTTATATACATTTAACTACCAGCCTGTGAATTTAGCAAACTGGTTTCAGCTTAGAGGTCTTGGGTCTTAGTTAATACTGACAGTTTGTAAGTCTGGGGTTCAGGGATACACAAGAAGTTATAAAACATATTCAAATTATATCTTGGTTGGAAAGATGACAAGTAGACATATAAGTTTGTTAGTCTATTACTTAGATTTTTTTTTTTTTTTTCTTTTTTGAGACAGAGTCTCACTTTGTTGCCCAGGCTAGAGTGAGTGCCGTGGCGTCAGCCTGGCTCACAGCAACCTCAAACTCCTGGGCTCAAGCAATCCTCCTGCCTCAGCCTCCCGAGTAGCTGGGACTACAGGCATGCGCCACCATGCCCGGCTAATTTTTTCTATATATATTAGTTGGTCAATTAATTTCTTTCTATTTATAGTAGAGACGAGGTCTCGCCCTTGCTCAGGCTGGTTTCGAACTCCGGACTTTGAGCAATCCTCCCACCTTGGCCTCCCAGAGTGCTAGGATTACAGGCGTGAGCCACCGTGCCCGGCCTATTAGTTAGATTTTTATTCTTTCAATTTCTCCCCAGTTAGTTGTTTTGTGGTATTGTTCTAAGTAACTGGTAATAATAGAAACTCTTAACAGGAACAGACTAATGACCTCTCATGTTGATGTTTTTCTCTTTCCTGTAGTTGCTTTTTAATTAACACAGCAGATCGAATAATCAGGGTTTATGATGGCAGAGAAATCTTAACCTGTGGAAGAGATGGGGAGCCTGAACCCATGCAAAAATTGCAGGACTTGGTGAATAGGTATGTGTCACGACGTAGAAGAGTATGTGATAATTCATGGCTTGGGCCCAGGTTCCAGTTCTCCTTGATACTTTCTTTGTACTTTAGGACTCCATGGAAGAAATGCTGTTTCTCTGGGGATGGGGAATACATAGTGGCGGGTTCCGCCCGGCAGCATGCTCTGTACATCTGGGAGAAGAGCATTGGTAACCTGGTGAAGATTCTCCATGGGACGAGAGGAGAGCTCCTGTTGGATGTCGCTGTGAGTAGAGTGGGGCATTGCTGTTGTTACATAAGCCAGAATATCTTGACTCTATTTTACAATCTGTTTTTCTTTTTTTAATTAAAATTTAGTGGCATCCTGTTCGACCCATCATAGCATCCATTTCTAGTGGAGTGGTATCTATCTGGGCACAAAATCAAGTGGTAAGTATTTTTCTGGTTTACCTGCTTTGAAAGTAGATACCCCCTGTTATTTTCAAAGAACCATATATATCCATAGTAAGCTAATAATTATCTTGTTTGCTTTTTTTATTGCATAGGATTCTTGTGACCTAATAAAATAGGTTCAGTGCATCTAGTTTCACTTTATTTTTATAGGAAGGTCTTGGTCCCAAGCTAGTTTACTATATTTGTTTTCAGGGAGAAAGTCTTGATACTAGACTTTTCTGTTAAATTTTTCTGTGATTTATTTGATATATGTTTTTCTTTTGCGTTTCTTAGTTTTAGCTCAGTTTCTGTTTTATATCTTGGTTTTACTTTGAACTCTTTTAAACTATATTTGTAATCCACGAACTTATAAGAAAATTTAACATTTTCCTTCAAAATTACATCTTAAAAAGATCAAAGAAGATGATTATTTATGAAAGAGCTATAGTTAATAACTTAAAATGTTTAAGATAGGAAAATAGTAGAACCTGCAGATACCTAATTTTTATTCTTATCTGGCAAATTTAATTCTCAGAGTTTTTAGTCTCTTTTGTGCTCAAATCTTTCATTTTATTATTAATAATTAATGTCTAGATTACAGATTATTGCTTTCTTACGTGGTTAAATAGTATATTTTGTTTGTGGCATAGGAAAACTGGAGTGCATTCGCACCAGATTTCAAAGAATTGGATGAAAATGTAGAATATGAGGAAAGGGAATCAGAGTTTGATATTGAAGATGAAGATAAGAGTGAGCCTGAGCAGACAGGTAATATTTCTCAATTGCAGATAGTATTTCCTAAAGGGAAAATAATTGCTTCACTTAATATTCTTAATTTATGTTGTAAATTTATTTCAGTACTTAGGCTAAAATATTACTTTGTTCTTTAAACTTACATAGTTTTCACAGTGTTTGCAGAGTCTTAATTTATAAAGCATTAACTAAGGGCTTATATGGGCATTACCAGAGCCCAAGCAGCTCTCCTGACATTTCACCTGACATTTCTCCTTTGTATTTCCTGATGAATTGCAGATGATTAAGTGTGGAACTGGCAGAGCAGCCACGTGTGCTCAGTGCTTGGCTTGTATCGTGTATTCTGTCCCTCCTTTCTCAGTAAGAGAAAGGTCAAGAGCATGAGCTCTGGAGTCAGACTGCCTTGGGCAAAATACTTATTCTTAGTACTTAACACCTTAATTTCCTCCTCTGTAAAATAGGGGTAATGTGGTATCTGCCTTTTAGAGTTGTGGGGAACAAATGAAATAATTCGGGTAACATGCTTAATATATGCCTAGGCCATAATTAGCACTCAGGTGTTATTTTCCATTATGATTATGATTGTAATCATTGTTATTTTTATCTCTTGTGAACTTCTAGATAGGAGCTCCTTGAGAATAAAGATCTGACTTTTTCTCTCCATCATGTCTAACGCAGGGCTTTACGCATAGTAGGGGTTCATGTGTGTGAATGCTTAGGATGCCCAGTTGTCACTGTCAGTGAGTCAGTGATTCATGCCACAGATCATTGACTCCTGGCCACTTAATGGTGCCAGGAACCAGGAAGTCAGGCTTGAGGTTAGTACTGACCAGCTTAAAAGTGCTGGTCCTAACTTTTGTGAAACTAGATAACTTTCATGCCTCCTGTGTTTTAGGAAGACCTCCAGGGATGCAGAATGTCTTGGATTGGCATTGTTTGGTTCTGTTGTTAAGCCTTCCCAGACTTCCACATAAATTGTTCCTCCTTGCCATCTCCTGAGCACATTGCACATACCTTTACTGTAGCACTTACTGTATTAAATTGAAACTATCTGTTTGTATCTGTCTCCCCAGTTAGACTATGAAGCTTTTACTGAACTATTCCTAACTTTGTTGGTCATCGCTCTATTTCTAGTGCCTAGCATAAGGTGGAAATTCAGCACACATTTGTTAAATATGCACTGTTTATTTTTCCTCCTTTGTTGCTTCTGGATTTCAGTTTATGAAAACCATTAAGCTGCAAGTAAAAAGCAGCTTTCCACTTCTTCTCAAACCTCTTGTGTGTTTCTGTCCTGCAGGGGCTGATGCTGCAGAAGATGAGGAGGTGGATGTCACCAGTGTGGACCCCATTGCTGCCTTCTGTAGCAGGTGAGCCAGCACGGAAGGCTGGGCCGTTTAGGAGGCTCCTCCTCCTCAGTCTCAGGCAGGGGGTGAAGGTACTATTCGATTCCCCTGGTTGTCCCTTCAGTCCCATCTGCTCATTAGCTACAAGAGAGAAACTCCTTGGTATACAAGAAATATGATACAGTCTTCTCTAGTCCCATTTCCCCTTCCTTTCTCCCTGATAGACTATTTAAGAAACCGAAATAATTGATTTATCCTGTTTATTTTTACCACCAATTTTATTAATCATGGTGCCTAATTTCCTTTTATTCATCTTGGCTTTCTTAAAGTTCTAGATCCATATGTGTTGCTTATGTTTAATATAAGCAATGGAGGAAGGGCTCATGGTTTAAGCAACTATCTCCTCTTTTTTTCCAATCCCTTGTCTGATCCTGTTCCAAATAGTGATGAAGAGCTGGAAGATTCAAAGGCTCTATTGTATTTACCCATTGCCCCTGAGGTAGAAGACCCAGAAGAAAATCCTTATGGCCCCCCACCGGATGCAGTCCAAACCTCCTTGATGGATGAAGGGGCTAGTTCAGAGAAGAAGAGGCAGTCTTCAGCAGATGGGTCCCAGCCACCTAAGAAGAAACCCAAAACAACCAATATAGAACTTCAAGGAGTACCAAATGATGGTAAGAGTTGCATCTTTTTCCCTGTTGCCTGACAAACACTACTCTCGAGTGCCCAGTACACTCTGTAATTTCCTGTTTGAACAGCTTTACCTTAAAGGACTTTTCCCAGGAGTCTTTTTTACAGTGTTTTACAACTTTGTGTAACGGTTGCCTCTGTGTTCACTTCTCTTTTAAAATGGGGGAGTTTTGCCCTTTAGTACCTTGCCCCTAAGGTGACATACTTTAAGTCTTCTGACACCCGGCTCAGAGTTTGTTTTATTATACCATTCTTCTTCTTTTTTATTTTTTCTCAGAGTGGTTTTATTAGCTGGTAAAGTAATAGTTAGACCTGGACAGTCATTTCATTCTTCCTGCCACCTTTTATAGACTGACTCTGGAAGCCTTTATCATTAATATCATGTCTTGGGATAGGTGGGGATGGATGCAGGGGTATGTGTGTGTTTACTCTTGGGCATCCTCCTTTCTCTTTCCTTTTAGCTAACTACGGATTAATTAAGCATGCAACTGTACATTTCCCTGATGCTATTGATGTGTACTCTGTTTCAGGCACAGTTGTGTGGTTTGTATACCATTGTTGACTTTTACATCAACCCTGCAAGTTGATTTACTACCCCTGCTTTTCAAAGGAGAAAATTTAGGCTGAGGTTATGTTTGAGAGGTTATGTGATTTGTCCAGGGTCTCACGGGAAGTGGGGGGTGGGGTCAGGATTCTTGCTCTGATCTGTCTAGTTCCACAGCCTCACATGCCTCCGTGTGTGTGTGTTTTCCTTAAATGTGTGGCTTGATATGGAATAGCATCGGTGCGTCTTCCAGCTGCTGTTCAGTTTAGAGTTGCTGTGGCTTGGTGTGGGCCATACAGGCTGCATGTGCTTTTGACCAAACTGCTTCTCATTTAATGGCCACTCTTATATAGTTTCATAAATAATAAACAAGACAAGCTTTTCTCCTTGTATCAGTGGATCTGAGACACAAGGCAACATTCTTTGCCCACAAAGTTCTATTTGGGGTGATGGGACTGGTGTTGTGTGGGTTCCTTTCCAAACCTTTCTGTCCTTCTACAGAAGTCCATCCACTACTGGGTGTGAAGGGGGATGGCAAATCCAAGAAGAAGCAAGCAGGCCGGCCTAAAGGATCAAAAGGTAAAGAGAAAGATTCTCCATTTAAACCGAAACTCTACAAAGGGGACAGAGGTTTACCTCTGGAAGGATCAGCGAAGGGTAAAGTGCAGGCGGAACTCAGCCAGCCCTTGACAGGTAAGGACACACTGGGAGCACTATCTGGCTTGCTTCGTGGCCTTGCTTTGTACAGCCCCTGACTCAGTTTAACTGCAGCATTTTTTTTTTTTTCTCCCTTCCCTCCTTTTCCCAGCAGTAAATGATCTCTGAATTTTAAGCTGCTGCTAAGGGCAGGCTAAACCAGATTTGGCTTAATTCAGTGGCTCTTAGCCTTGGGTCCATAAATAGGTTTCAAGGGAATCTATATTCCCCTGATACTATATGTAAAATATTATGTGAATATTTTTCTGGGGAAGATATCCATAGCTCTCATCAGATTCCTGTAGGAATCCATGACCCAAAAAAGGGTAAGAACCCCTGCTTTAATTCATTTCTTTCTGTTTGCTCTTAGGCTTTTTGTTTGTTTAGTCTCAACTGAAAGAGCTACATAGCCAGAAATACAAGCTTGTTCTATATAGCCGCTGTTTAACTGTAGCATCTTTCTTCTGTCTCTTCAAGTCGTTCAAACCCCACAGATGGTGTCTTTCTCTCAGCCAGTAGTCTAGGAGCCATAATGAAGTTATTAGTACCATCATGTTAAGGAACGTGACATGTTTTTGTTTTTTTCCTCAATATCTGAAAACGGGGAGATTACCAAAAACACAGAAACTACAGTATCTATGTAGCTCCTTAACATTTTTGAAATATTTGGGTTTTCTCGCTTTTATATGATTGAGGGATTTTTATTGGGGGATGGAGAACAATTTCAGTTTCCTGCCAAATACTCATGAAGCTAGACTAAATGGTCCTTTGTTTAGAAAATATTAATCAAATTGGAGTCCATTTCTATTCCGATGATGGGTTTTTGAAGTTTTTTATTTTATATGTAAGCCCTGTGTTAGTTAATACAGTACTCAATTTTTTTGTGGCTAGTTTAGTAGACTGAAAAGCAGGATTGTTAACATCAGTGGTTGCATGCAGGTTTTTTCCTTTTTGCTTTAAAATTTTAATCTAAGTGTATTAATCCAAATGTGATGATAAGTACTAGAGTACAAACAGAATTATTTGTTTAATTTATACCTTACCTGGCTGGGCAAGGTGGCTCACGCCTGTAATCCTAGCACTCTAGGAGGCCGACATGGGAGGATTGCTTGAGCTCAGGAGTTTGAGACAAATCTGAGCAAGAGTGAGACCCCATCCATCTCTATTTAAAAAAAATTAAAATATAAAAAAATAAAAAAAATTATACCTTCAGTTAGTCATTGTCTGTGAACATGAATCTCTTCTACAGAGAAGCTAAAACAGTCTCTGAAGTTACTCATCCTTTTAATTATTTCACCTCAAGTTTGCTAAATTTAGACTTCGGTTTTTCATAGCCCAACACTGTTACCGTATCACTGAGCACCAAGATTTTTCCCCAAAAAACAGTGTTCGTGCTGTTGTACTGATAATTAGTCGCCACCTCCACAGACAGTCCACCCAAGGCTCCGCCTGTATGTCTAGCAGAATAGCCGGAGCAGTCAGATAGGCATTGCCAACAAAGATTGCAGCTTGACTGCATGTAAATAAAAACAATCTTCCATAACCCACTTCTTGTACAAGCTGATGCCACTACAGAAGAAAAACATAAAACTTAGAAAACGTCAGTTTTCTAATTGTTAGGCACTTAAATTGGTCAAATTTAAATAGACTTCCCTAGTCCAGAAAGCGAAAACGTTTCAGGGTGATTTAAAACATGGCTAGACATATTCCGTTAATTAAAACACTTTAGGATGTAGTATCCCAGCTTCATCAAAACCTGTCTATGATTTATCATGCACTTTGGAAGTATATGGTAAATCATTTCAAATTTGTAAAAAAAAACTCACATTTTCTTCTCTAGAATGTGGTGATTTCAGCTTTTAACTGTAGTTGATGTGGTCACTAGCAGCAACTGATTATCGTTAGCAATTCCCAGACGGCTCTGTCAAAGGCACCATGAGGCACTGTTAGATTTCACAGCTCAGAGTACAGCAGCAGTGGTGTTTCTCAGCTGCGCTTCAGAAATGTCTACATTAGGGTCAAGGTCAGAATGTTGGAAAGTTTACATAGCCCTGAAGGAATGGGCCTTTTTATTCCCTAAAATTCTCAAAATACTGAATACATGTATTAGTTTTATTAGCTTAGTGATGGGAGAAAGCTTACAGTAAAATTTTGAACTGCGTGTAGGATATATATATTTGGACAAGTCAGCATTTCAAAGTTCCTCCTAGTAACTGGATACTCCATTATCAAGGGCTCATTAAATGATTATTCCCTCTCACTTTACTGACAAAGTTTAATAAAGTACTGATCTCAGTAAAGGCTAGAAGTTGTATCATGGAATAGGAGGGCGCTTTAAACTGGACTTTTGTTTTCTAATTGTTAGCTACTTAAATTGGTCAATTTTAAATAGAGACAACTATTTTAGCAGCTTTACCCCTACAAGGACTAAAGAACACTTCCATATGACAGCATCAGGGTGATGTCTTTTAGGACCACACACAGGCAAAGAAACTACATGCATAGATTGCTGCAAACAGTTCCCTGACTTCTCTGTTGCTTGCATTGCATGCTTCCCTGTGTAATCTGTATGTCCTTCTTCCCATTTTCTCCCTTCTTCTCTGGCCTTGGTTCTGCCTTTTCATGATTGGAAATCTCCAAAACTGAAATGGCCGGATTAGACTCCAGAGTGCTGAGGAACAAGATCATTAAGAAACCTCAAAAGGGAGTTGAGGCACGGTTCCAAGACACCCACAGAAGGGCTGCATCCAGCTTTGTTGACCAGCTGCGATGTAGTCTGGATCTTTGTGAAGGCTGCAGATTTGCTGGGGGAATGGTGGACACTGGATATCACAGATAATTCCATCAGAAGTCTCAGTTTTAAGACAGCCTATCATATTGTTTATGTGGGATTCTTTGGGTGAGGGTAGGGCTTCATCCAATAACAGGTCATATTGGAGGGCCTGAGCAGGCTAAGTCTGGCTGGCATCTGCTGCTGATTTGAATGTGGCCCACCAAGGCTACTGAGAGAAACACTTTGGCCTTTGAATCTCATGTTCATCCACACCTTGGAGACTTTCAATAAAAGGCAGTATACAGTCGTAGATTTTCCACTAGAGAAGAGCAAATGAAACCTGATCCAGAATACCTAAGGCAGAACCATCTTCAAAAATCAGTCTGAGGGTTATGTTTGTAGACTCAAGGTTCATTCTCTTTTGTGGACCGACCACATCCTCTCTCCCCCACCATGGACACTTTGCATTAGAGGCAGATTGTTCTAAGGCAGGATTATAGGTGTTGTAGGTTGTATTTCTACCCTAAGTTAGATGAATGACAACTCTTTGTTAATATCTGCAGTTGACCAGTTATTGAAAAAACTGTTCCATAAGCCTTGATTAGCCCTAAGAAAGCTACCATAGTGTGTTGCATTTTGCAGCAGGAGATGATGCGTTTCAAGGGAAAATTGGAAGACAAATAGATCCTATAGAAATAATCTGGCCATTTGGAATCAGGGGCTACAGAAACTTCTTTCCTATCAAACAGCTCATCAGTATTGGATAGCACCAGAGGGCCCACATCCACGAAGACACTTTCTGTATTGAGTGAAGACCCAACAGTGAAGCTTGGTAAGGGTAACCCTAAGCTTGGGACTTACCAGAGAGACCAGGCTGACATAATTTGCACTATTTATCAAATGTCCCTCAATTACCTTAGATACTCTCCAGAGGCCAGTCCTCGGAACAGAAACTTGAGACGTGAACAGAATCACCAATTTCCTCGTTGCCATGGAATTGCTCAAGAACCAGGGCTCCTTGGCAGTAACCGTCAGTAGTAAAGTGAGGCTGTCACATTCGTGGTCTGAAGTCCTCATGTGATGGTGAGCATGAGCAGTTAGTGTGCACCTAGGTCTTTTGGGGGCGGCAAAGGCCAAAGTGAGCCAAGGCACCACTCCTGGAGGTGGACGGGCACCACAAAGATTTCCCTGCCGTGGGCTGCCCTGCACCACTGCCCCTGGTGCCAGCCAGCCCCTCCCCAGGGCTCTGAACCACCTACAAGTCACTTACCGATCTGTGATTGTTTTAAATGCTTGGTAGTGAGTGAGATGCTTTTCATTCTCTTTTTTAAAGAACAGTCTCTCGAAGACTAATTTATGAATTCCTGCTGAAATCGGATAGCTAGTTGGGTATTCTTTCTCATTCTACGTGAGCTTACTAGCTAAGGTAGAGTTTGAAAATCATGTCCCAGTGTTCTCTTAGGCCACCCTGGATTGGGCTGCTCTCGGGAGGTACCAATAGTAACTGTTCATTATGAGCTGAATTTTCCTTAATACTATATTACTAGAAATTTCCTTTATGTTGCAACTAAATAATACATTTCCTTGGGGGCAGTTGCTGCTTCAGATCTTTGCATTGCCTAGAGTGCTCTGTGTTGCTATTTCTGCGTATCTTACCTTGCTCGTGGTATTGCTTGCTCTGGTTTTGTTTTGTTGCCTGATGCCTCAACAAGTCCTTCCTCTCACCCCATTTGCTTTTATTTATTTCTTTTGTCTACTCACAAGAACAAAATGGTATAGAAATGTGATCTGCCCTTAGCTAATCTGTGTAAGATACCAGTCATCTAGAGTGCCCATTATTAATGCTCTTGATTTATGAAACCAATTTCTCCCATCATGATTTAGGCTTAATGAAATGGCAATGTTGTGTTTATTTTTAAACTGTTAAAACTAAGTTGGTCAGGGTACCTATGGGAACATTTAGTGAAACTAGCCTTAGAGTGGTAAAGGTATGATATTGAGCCTTGTGGAGTGGATTCCTGTATCTGAGAGGTTTTCTTTAATCAGCTCAAGAGGTTCCTTATGTTTTATGTTGGGAAAGATCTGAAAAACAAGGCCTACCTCAACTCTTTATCTTTATATTACTGAACTATAAAATGTTTAAATTCAGTTTTTAACATTGTAGCATTCAGTAGAGAGTTTGTATGTTATAATTTCAGTCTTGTTTTCAGGCAAATGTGAATATATTTTTATTGCCAGTTTTCATTTGTACAGGAACTTTAAAAATCATGTTTAAAGTTTTATAAATGAGTACTTTGCTTTCATAATTTGGGCAGTTATTTTTTTTTAACCATTTACCTTCAAGTGGCATGTTCTCCCCCATTCGAAATGACATCTGGGAGGATTTTCTTCACCTTGTTCTCTTTTTACACTTCCTAGTTAATATTTCACAGCTGTCCATTTAAGGATGTCCCTCAGAGGTTGAACAGCTTCTATGGAATAATCAGGGAAGTGTTCATTTGATTTTACTATTTAGGATATTATTTATTGATCAGTTGGTTCATAGAAATGCAGACAGTAGCTTTCATCAACATTTCACCATATTTGGGGTTCTAAGGTGATAAAGATGTCACTTAAGGAACGGTGGTGCTTGGAAAAGGGTTTCTTGCTCACTGTTAATCATGTAGTTACTAATTAGTCTAATATCTGAAAGGTTAAAGGTGTAGTGCCCTGGAATTTCCTCTACTTATTGCACTTTTTGGATTGCTAAGTATTGTTTGTGAACTCCTTAGAGAATGACTAGCAGCTTAGAAAATGCATAGAACTCTGGTCATTTTGCTTTTCCCCATACCCTTTGGAGCAGTGCTGAGAAAAGTATTGGGGGTAGGGGTTTGGGATTTGAATTATTTGTTTCAATAAAGAGTAGTTGGGAATTGGAATTGGTTTTAATTTTTCTTAAAAAGGGGAAGTACTTGGCTCATATATGCTTGTAATGCATCATCCAGCATCCATCAGTATTTCTGTCTTATAAGTAATTGGTCTATGTTAATGCTAACAGAAAACTTTTTGTGTCTAATCTCTTTAGCAGGAGGAGCAATCTCAGAATTGTTATGAAGACCCTTGAAGTTCTTCGTTCTTCCCCACTTTGCCATCATGTGGCCTCTGGACACTGTGGTCAGTCATTTGAGATTGACTTTAATTTAAAACAAAGGCCTCTGCCTCCCACCCAGGAGGTGGGAGGAATGAATTTTATGTTTGAATGAAGAAGTGAATTATGGAAGAAGAGTATATGTCCCTTACCTTCCTTTTCAAGCATAAGTCCAAATAGGCTCTCAGGAATGAGGATTGTGAAGACATCAGATAGGAGCTTTGACTCATTTAAACTTTGATGCTTAGTTATATTGCTGGAGAAAAAATACCCATGTTTTGCTCATATAACATTATTGTACCCAGCATCATTTTGGCTGTCATTTCCTATCTCCTGTTAGCCTTCCATCCTCAGTGCATGTCCTTGAGTGACTTGTTCCTATCTGAAATTTTGCTACCAATATCCTAGGGAAACGTCTGTTGCTAATTCTTTCTTTCATTTTTTAAACTTACCTTCTCCCCAGATATCGCCTATATTTCCATATTGTGTACAAAGGATGGGCAGGAAAGAACATGCTTGAAAATTTTCAAATTTTCAGAAAGGGAAGAAAGATAAGAAGCCCCCCCTCTTCCTACTGTACTACATTTTGCTCAAGAAGCTGGGCTGTAAGAGAGTCAAGGTTTTTTTTCCTTGTTTTCTTTCCATTGCATGTTTCCCTCCAGTATTGGTTCATTGTCATTAATCATGGTGTTTGAAGATAGCTAGTTTTATCCATCTCCAGCAAAGAATCATCAACAGTTTGTATTGCTTTATTTTATTTTATTTTTTCCCTTTGATCCTGGTGTGTATCGCTTTATGTATGCTGGCTTCCAGAGATGGAAGCAAACCAAGGTGTCACTCAACAAGCTTATTTTTTATTGGGGTGGGGGAATCTATGCAAGGACTAGGGTAAAACCATCTGAAATCAAAGCAGCAACAACACAGTTCAAATCAAAGATCAAGGTGAAATTTTTTTTATCATTGCCTGTGGAAATCTGTCCCCATCAGTCCCTTCCTGTATCTATGCTCCTTTTTCTGTGTTTTCATTCACTTCCTTTCTGTGAAAGGTTGCTAGCTTTTTTGCCTTTTTTTGCTTTTGTTGTTCTATAGATAGAAAGATTGGATAGATGTACATTAGGTGTTTGAAATTCTCTGAAAATTTAGTCAGGAAGCCAGACACTCAGTAGCCTCCCTGAGTAGAGCTTTTAGTTGGCCAGAAGTGCTTAACCTGGATCATTTTCTCAGTATTTTTCAAAGGAGAGTTCAAATACTGTGCTTATTGTGAAATCTGTATCAGTTGGTGGGTGCTTCTATAGGCAGCCAAACACATTGATTACCTTTTAGATTTTAGGATAGAAATCAAGGTAGAGAAATCAGTAAGAGCCTCTTTCTCCCATTCCATCCTTTAGAACCAGTGTATTTAATAGTAGAGGAAAGAGCTCTCCCTGAGTCAGTTTCAAAACATCTATATTGTTAGATGCTATTACTTTTCCCCTAAATGCTCATTTTGTGAATTGCATATGAGTTAGACCAGTGGTTGAGATGGGTAAGTGGCTCACTAGACATGTTTTTGTTTTACAGATATTATATCCATTCCAGTTTTCTTTGTACTCCACCCTGCAATAGTGTGCAAACTGTGTGGTACAAAAGGTTTCTGCCTTATTTCCGTGTGTGGAGTAGCTTGGTTTCCTCTGCCTGTGCATCTGGCTGTTTGTGCTGTGTCCGCCTCCTAAACTGGCTACTGAGAAAAGCGACTTAAGCCCTGTCAGATTGTCTCTGGCAGGCAGCTCCTAATAATTATTTATGCTTTTGGAAATTTTTTTTTCAACTCCTAAAACCTTCTATCTTAGTTTGACTTTCTTGATTTGTACAATATATGTATATTCTCTTCCTTTTTGTCACCTCCCCACTCCCCCATTGTTTGGTTTTTTAAAATGTTCTGTAGTTTTGTACAAGATGAGACTTAGACTTGGGTATATCTTGCTGAAGCTTTAATGCTTTGTAAATAAAATCGGATGTTTATTAAAGAACAGGTGTAGATGTTCGTTTGTAAACACTGCTCACTTCTGGAAGTCACCAGCTGCTTTGCTTTTTGTACAGTGGAAAATGTGGCTTACTGTGGTGATGTTAGATTTCTCTGTGTGGAAATACAGATCTGCAAGGGCTGGACAGGTAGTCTTGATTTCTGCCTGTAGACAAAATTATAAATAAATGATCCAAGCACAAAGTTGTTAATTGAAAAGATCTAGCAGTGATCTCTCTTCAAATTCTTTAGCTCAGTATGTTCGTGTAATTACTCTGAAGAGTCCATAGTGCTAGACATTCTGGACGCTACAAAAATGCATGCCAGGAGGTTCCTGCCTCCAAGGATCTTTCTTCAAGTATAAATAAGTACAGTTAAATTCCTCTTTATTAGTCTTTTTTTGTTTTTGTTTTTTTAGATTACATAGCTTTAAAAACCATTGAATACTTGTTTCACGAAGTCTGTTTTTTATTTTAATCAGTGCCAAATCTGAGTGTCAATTTATTAATCTTTTATGTGACTGAGAAACCCGTCTTTGACATCATAGCTGTTTCATAGCAACCTTGACCTAAACAAACAATGAGATCCTCTGTTCTATAGGGTAAAGGCAGTAGGCTGAGAGAGAACATTAGGCATCGTCTCACCCAGAAAACATCTTCCGGTACCCTTGGGAGGGAAGAGTACCTAAAAGGGAGGGAGGAGCTGCCTTTAACATAGCCTTAAATGTTCTGATTCTAAAAGGTTGTCTTGGCCATTGTCTTCATGAATTTTCATTTCTGTTGAAAATCCACATATGAATGAACAGCATTTCACACTTTACAAAGTGTTTTCATGTACAGTCTATCATTTGATGCTCAAAGTGACCTTCCTGAAATAGGCATGGAGGTCTTAATTTACGAAGGAGGAAATAGAAATTCAGGAAGGGTAAGTCACTTGCCTCCTAGTACAGAGTTCTTAATCTTTTTATAGAAGGGTTAAGAGCATTCAAAGTAAATGAGTCGGGTTCTTTAACCTGAACTTAATTCAAGTTAAACTTCTTTTTTTTTTTTTTTAGACTTTAGTATTTGTTTTCTTATTTGGTCACATTTAACTTGGTATTTGGAAACCCTTTAGATTCCAGTTTGGAGGGGAGGGAAGAGGATGAGAAAGAGTGTAACTTATGCATTTGAGATAATTTGGAAATTCACTTCAGTTTCTGAAGTCTTTTCATCTTTTGTCTTCCCAAGAGGTAGATTTAAATTCTAAAAAAAAAAAAAAAAAAAAAAAAGTAAAAAGAATGGTAAGGTGGTCTTTACCAAGCAAACAGTAAAGCAACAACATTAGGATTTTTTTCCTGCCTTGTGGCCTTACCTGTTAATAAGGACTGGTCTTTTATTGAGTTGCACTGTTTTATTGACAATACATGCATCGTATCTTTTGATTTTGAAGGCTGTCTCATGTCCAAGGAGTCAAGTTATGATACTGTAGAGAAGTCAGCCGGAATACCTTTGGGGTGCTGGCTGAGGGTGGCGCAATGCCTAGCAAGACATGAAGGTTTTGGCCACTAGTTTCATCCTTGGGATCCTGGTGTTGCCCTTCTACCTGCCTTTGGTGGTGACTGCACCTAGAACACTGGCCATCCCTAAGAAGCTGCAAGAAGCTGTGGGGAGAGTTATTGTCAATGCCACAACCTGCACTGTCACCTGTGGCCTTGGCTATAAGGAGGAGACTGTCTGTGAGGTGGGCCCTGACGGAGTGAGAAGGAAGTGTAAGTCTCAGCGCTTGGAATGTCTGACCAACTGGATCTGTGGGATGCTCCATTTCACCGCGCTCACCGGGAAGGAATTTGAGCTTAGCTGTCTGAGTTCAGACATCCTGGAGGTTGGACAGGAAGCTTTCCGATTCACTTGGAGACTTGCTCGGGGTATCATCTCAACCAATGACGAGGTCTTCAAACCCTTCCGAGCCAATTCCCACTTTGTGAAGTTTCAGTCTGCTCAGGAGTATGACTCGGGGACATACCGGTGTGACGTGCAGCTGTTAAAAAACTTGAGATTTGTCAAGAGGCTTTATTTTGGGCTGAGGGTCCTTCCTCCTAACTTGGTAAACCTGAATTTCCATCAGTCCCTTACTGAGGATCAAAAGTTAATAGATGAGGGCTTGGAAGTGAATCTGGACAACCATTCCAAGCCTCACCGCCCAGAGTGGGAAAAGAAGGTGGCATCAGCCTTGGGAGTAGGTATCGCCAGTGGAGTGGCTGGTGGCGTGTTGCTGAGCTTCGCCCTCTGCAAGGTGCTCAGGGAGACCTATATCAGTGACGGGCTCCAGAGCTTAAAAGCCTTGTCCCAGAAGGACCAGCTGCCCAGGAAGCCAAGCTAGCTTTTAAGGATAAGTGAGTGTTCTGGCTGCCTGATAGTGGATTGGCTAAGAGGGAGGACTCCTACTGCTAAAAGAATGAGTAGAGGAATGTGGAGGGGGCACTCTTGCGCAGCTATGGGGAATCATCTCTGCTTGTCCCGGATAGATTTCCTCCTGTTCTTCCTTGCCCACTATGTACCCGGGAAACTGTAGGCACCTGATCCGGGGAAGAGTTGAAACAAGCTTCATGTTCTATCCCATACAACTTGTATGCCTCCCCACCTCCATTCTCCCTCTTTTGAGCAATGTATTCATGGAAAAGGATATTATTAACAGCTTTTATAGTGAAAACATTTTTTCCTTTCAATAAAAATAATTCACAGTAGCTGTATGGAGATGTAGCTTTTTCTTTTCTGCTTTTAGCTTAAAATTTCTCGTGTTTAAATTGTCCTGTAATTAATCCAGCTTTTATTTTCCTCAGGTTTCTTAGAATAGACATTGAGCAAATGGTCTGCGTTGTTGGGGGGGGCAGGAGGGGGCTTATATCTACCTATGTGTGGCAGAGGTTGTTAGCGATGACATCTGACTAGGTATGTATTAATAGTGGACAGCCGCTAAATGTTGGTGAATTGTCTGCCCCGCCCTCTACTCCCCAGGTGAACCCCCTGTTCAGTGTTAAACTGCATTTCCTGGCAGGTTTCCCTGATCATTCAGACAGTCCCCTGGCTTGCCCCCTGCTCCTTTCCTTTTAGCCCTTTCAGTGCCCCGAAGCTCGTGTTTCTGGAAAGGTCAACTGTATTGGTTTCTTACAGCAGCCAAGGCCCCCAAGGGAGGACTAGTACCTTCATTCCTCAGTAGGAAATCCACTCTTAAGCTGCTCAAGGGGCCCATCAGACTGTGCCTGAGATAATTGGCTTGTGGAGCCATCAGGGAAAAGGCTCTTGGCCACCAGCTGAGCTAAGTCTACTGAGAAAATGATAGCATTTCTTCCTTTCACTTTTCTCTACCTACAGGAGGAGGTAGCAGAAACCAAAGACCAGTAGTTCTCTTCTCTAGATGTGTGTCAGAATCACCAATGGCTTTTTGAAAAATAAAGATTCCCCAACCTTGAAAATGCTAATTCAGTTTAAATTATGACTACAGGAGCTCTGTTATCCCCTTTACCTTCTAACTTTTAAAACAAATTTCAAACCCATAGAAAAGTTGAAAGAAATGGGCCAGGCACAGTGGCTCACGCCTGTAATCCTAGCACTAGCACTCTGGGAGGCTGAGGTGGGTGGATCGTTCAAGGTTAGGAGTTCGAAACCAGCCTGAGCAAGAGTGAGACCCCCGTCTCTACTAAAAATAGAAAAGAAATTAATTGGCCAACTAAAAATATATAGAAAAAATTAGCCGGGCATGGTGGCGCATGCCTGTAGTCCCAGCTACTCGGGAGGCTGAGGCAGAAAGATTGCTTGAGCCCAGGAATGTGAGGTTGCTGTGAGCTAGGCTGATGCCATGGTACTCTAGCCAGGGGAACAGAGTGAGACTGTCTCCAAAAAAAAAAATGAAAGGTTGAAAGAAATGTTTAGTGACACCCGTAGACCTTTTATCGAGATTCACCAGGTAACACTTGTCACAATTGTCTTTCTAAATATGTATTAATTTTGCTAAATCCTCTAGAAGCTAGTCACAGGTATTGTGATTCTTCACTCCCAAATCATGTATGCCTCTCCTAATAATGACATTCTCTGTAACCACAATATATCATACTTAAGAACATTAACAGTTCCTTAACTTACATAAAGTTTATACAAATTGAGCATCCCAAATGTGAAAATTCGAAATCCATAATGCTCCAAAGTGTGAAACTTTGGTGATGTGGGGCCTAAAGGAAGTGCTCATTGGAGCACCTCAGATTTGGGACTGTTCGGACTGGGAATGCTCAACCCGTGAGTATAGTGCAGATGTTCCAAAACTTGAAAAAAACCTGAAATCTGAAACATTCTGGGTAAGGGATACTTAACCTGCATTCTGTTTTCCCCAATTTCTAAAATCTTTCACCGTTTTTTTTTTTTTTTTTTTTGAGACAGAGTCTCCCTTTGTTGCCCGGGCTAGAGTGAGTGCCGTGGCGTCAGCCTAGCTCACAGCAACCTCAAATTCCTGGGCTCAAGCAATCTTGCTGCCTCAGCCTCCCAAGTAGCTGGGACTACAGGCATGCGCCACCATGCCCGGCTAATTTTTTCTATATATATTAGTTGGCCAATTAATTTCTTTCTATTTATAGTAGAGACGGGGTCTCGCACTTGCTCAGGCTGGTTTCGAACTCCTGACCTCGAGCAATCCGCCCGCCTCAGCCTCCCAGAGAGCTAGGATTACAGGCGTGAGCCACCGCGCCCGGCTTTTCACCGTTTTAATTTGTGATCCAGGACCAAATAAAGATTCATGTATTACATTTCTCACAAGTCTCTTATTTTACAACAGATCCCCTGCATTTTGTTCTTCACTGATTTTTATTGAACAGTCAAGCTAATCCAGTCGTCTGGGACAGTGTCCTGCTATTTGGATTTGTCATTTCCTCACAGCTAGATTCATGAGGAATGAATCTTAAGCATGTTTGACAAGAGCCCTATGTGGATATGTACCTACCGCAAAGCGGCAGGAGGATCGTAATGTTAGGTTGACTCGCTATTGGTGACGATAAGCTTGATTATTTGGTTAAGGTGGTGACTGCTAGATCTCCCCAAAGGAGAGTGTGTGTGTGTGTGTGTGTGTGTACATTTTGCCCCTTTGTAATGAATCTTTAATACTTTGTAATTAACCTGGTTTGCTAAAAACTGTTCACAAATGTTTTCGCATCCATCGATGATCTTTGCCTTATTCACTGATACATGTTGGATTGAAAAGGGTAATATTCTCTCTCTCTCTTTTGAGATAGTCTTGCTCTGTCACCCAGGCTGGAGTACAATGACATGATCATAGTTCACTGCAGCCTCAAACTTCTGGGCTCAAGTGATTCTTCTTGCTCAGCCTTCCAAGTAGCTGGGAATACAGGTACGCACTACCATGCAAAAGTTTAAAATATTTTTTTTTTTTTTTTTTGAGACAGAGTCTCGCTTTGTTGCACAGGCTAGAGTGAGTGCCGTGGCGTCAGCCTAGCTCACAGCAACCTCAAACTCCTGGGCTCAAGCGATCCTGCTGCCTCAGCCTCCCGAGTAGCTGGGACTACAGGCATGCGCCACCATGCCCGGCTAATTTTATATATATATATTAGTTGGCCAATTAATTTCTTTCTATTTATAGTAGAGACAGGGTCTTGCTCTTGCTCAGGCTGGTTTCGAACTCCTGAGCTCGAGCAATCCGCCCGCCTCGGCCTCCCAGAGTGCTAGGATTACAGGCTTGAGCCACCGCGCCCGGTCTAAAATTTTTTATAGAGACCGGGTCTCACTATGTTGCCCGGGCTGGTCTCGAACTCCTGGCTTCAAGCAGTCCTCCTGCCTTGGCCTCCCAAAGTTCTGGGATTACAGGTGTGAGCCACTTCCAGCCCAAGACGGTAATTCTTTTATGTTCATTGTTTTTAGATTTATTAGCCTACATTTTTCTGTAAAGAGCGTATTCTTTTTACTCTCTTTTTTGAGGGCTCAGCGGAATCTCTTTTTTATTCAATGAATTATATATAATCCATTACTCTTAGTCATTTTCTTGATGTTCAGATTGTCCCCAGGCTTGGGGACCAGATCTTTCGACCTTTTGCCACAGTCCCGTTTGACTTTGAGCATTTCCTTGCTTTCCTAGTACAATATATCTCAGGCTCACATTTGGACTGTCTTTGCCCCAAACCTGAGCCTGCTGTTTCTGTAAGGAGCCCTGGTTCCTTTTAGCGTGGGGGGTAGTGTTTAGAAACCGAGGTGCGTGCTGCGGATGTGCTCATTGCCACCGCAGAGTCATCACTCCTACGCCCTTTCCGTGTCCTAGATACACATTATATAAATCATGAATTTCAAAGCATCTTTGGTTTTTAAAAGTTTTCTAGGTGGTTCTGATCTGGAGCAAAGGCCCATGCACAGGGAGTCGTTTTTACTATTGCTCTTGAAAAGATCATACATTTTACGCACACCCCTGCCCAGAGGGGGTGGATTTCGGGAGACCTGGGTTCTGGTCCTGGTCCTGTTCAACTATGTAAGGGAGCAAGCTAACTGACACTTTGTAGGCCGCACCCTTGGAATTGATTGTGAGGATCCCATGAGATCCTGAGGGCTAAGCTGCTTTGTAAACTGAAGTACTGGACCCGAGTTCAGGAATGTTATCGCTGCGTTTCAGTTCGGTACAGGACAGTTGGCTGAAACATTCAGGAGACAGCTATACTTTAGGCAGGCCATCTTAAGCTAGAAGCAGCAGCCGATAAAAGCAGCATCTTACTTGGTTAGTATGTAATGGACTGAGTATCACACTGCTGAGGAAGGAGGAGGAGCGGGAGGCACTGTTGCCTGTTGCACAGATGGAGAGACCGGCACCCAGAAGGCACTGGATAACGTTCCCAGGATTCGGTTGCAAGCCAGTAGTCAAGTACGAGATGGACTATTGCACAGCTCCAGGTTTATAGCCCGCTGCGTGTTGTTGGGTTCTTGAAGGGATTGAGCAGGGAATAGCGCAAAAAGCCCCTCAGATGTGTTGGTATCGAGACAAAAACCCAATTCAGTTGGTTGAATTCTGTGCCTGTCATCTGCCTCTGGAGGGTCAAGGTGGTGCTGACTGGACGGCATTTGGGATCTAGAGTGGTGGGTGCTCCCACACCCCCTTTGGGTGCAAAGTGGAAGAGAGGACCCTGCTGCGGTATCATACCGGTGTCTGGGGGCCGGCTCTCGGCCTGGGGGTCTCATGCCAGACAGGCCCTGGGCAGACAGCCAAGCACTGAGTAGTGGGCCTTCAGTATCCTTCATCTCCCTCTTCCCTGAAAAAAGCTGAGGGCACAGTTGGCACGGAGCCCCTACCCGCCTTGCATGGAAAGACGCAAACACAGGGCTGCAGGAGTGTTCCTCTGCACACGTCCCCTCTGTCACGGAGGTTTGATAAGCGGTGGCTGAGTGCGTGAGAATGTCGTAGCTGGACACTGACTCGTAATTCAACACTTTTGGCCGCTGCGAGCGGAGAGTAGAGGCGGCAGTCTCATTCTCACCAGCTGGGGGTCTCTAAGACCCCTGCAGGGAGCAGACTTCCCTTTGGGACCATTGAGTCAACACCTCAAGCATCTTAATCAGGGAAGCTCGAAGCAGTGCCGTCACACGGGCATCGTTTCTGCCGCCGTGTCAGGTAAAGCCTGTCCAGCCTAGCACAGCGCCTGCTTGCACTCTGCTCAGGCCTGCCTTAAAATCTCTTGGCCTCATGTTTCCCCCTCCCAGGACTGAATGAAGCAATACGGATCGTATGTTGTAATGTAAGGGCTGACTGCGTGAAATGTGGAAGTATTGCAGGAGAGCTGCTGCAGTTCCAGAGCAGGACAAGGCGGCATTCTTCCGCTTGACGATAGAAACACCCACAGCTGGCGCCAGCTGCCTCAACAGGCTGAGAAACCATCTTTATTTAAGAACTGCCTGCTACCAGAGTCAATAAATAACTACCATTACAAGAAGTACAAGAGAAACAGTAGGCCAGCGGGAGTGGTTCCATTTTGACAGGCACTGGTCGAGTCAAGTCAGTGGCGCAGTGAGGCCCGAGCCCTTGCCGAGCCACGAGCATCTCTCAGCCGTGAGCCGTGCAGGCCCTGGGCGGGTGGGCGAGCTGAGGAGCCCTGGGGCCAAGGCAGTATGTGCCCGTCCGTCTCGGGGCACTAGGAGCTGTAGGCCCCTAAGCTCGCTTGGGGCTCTGAGCAAAGCTGTCTGACCCATTTTGTTTCTCTCCAGTTTTCCTTTACTGTCCTGCCTTCCCGGAGCCTACGGCCATATGTACAAGTCCGTGGGGCGTCTCCAGCCACCGGCTGCCTGCTTCCGTGGAGCTCTTTGAAGGCCCTGAGAAAAATAGCCATCTCGCCCCTCTCTCGCCATTCCAGGAGCCTCTCTGGCAACCCCCTTCATCCCCAGGATGAAGCCCAGGCTAGGTCTGGCCTAGAGGGCACCACGGTGTGCCCATGAACACGGGTGAGGACGCTGCCTCTCTCCGACACGGGAGCCCCGTTGGCAGCCCCATTCTGAGACCAGGAAGAGAAAAGATTCCTCCGTAGCTGGGGAGGAGATTAAGGGAGTAAAGCATCCTTAGCTGTTTGGGGCTCTTGCCCGGAGCACGGGCTGGATGCTCCTGGGACTGGCAAGAGGCAGCGCACGCTGGGAAAGCACTGGGTTGTCCCAGAATTCCCAGTGAGCCTGCCTTCCCTGTGGTGGCGTCCTCTAAGGACAGGGACCGCAGCAGGCGGGATCTCCAAGACTCTTCCTGTGCTGAACCCTTTGATTCTAAGCATCCCAGCCCTGGAAGGACACTTGGAGCCTCACCCATCCCTCCGCCACAGCCTCACCTACCCTAGACCCCACGCCAGCAGCTATCAGAGTTTCTCAAAGGGCCCTAAAAAAGAAACCTTCCTTATTCCAGGGTGTCATAGCATACGTTTTTTTCTGATGTCTAACCTCAGTCTCCCCTGTTGTCACTTTATCAAAAGAAAAGGACATGCCCCCAGCCCCCATGGCCTCGCCACTCCCTGACACCATTGTATTTGCTGCCCTGAATGCAAGTAGATAATCTGACCTTGCGGGGTCCCGAGACTCCATCTGGAGAGAGCTGCCCTCCCACCGAGGGTGGGGTCTCCATCTGGACTGAGAAAGCAACACAGACTGGCGGCCACGGCCAGGAGCAAAGGGCTCCACAGGCTGAGCCCAGGTGTATGCAGAATGGAGGGCCCTTGTCTCCCTGGGCCCCGAGGAGGTGTTTGCAGGCCGTCTCTGTCCCTAGTCTTCAAGCATTTACTGGCCACCAAGCTGTGGGACAGAGTACTCGGTGTGACTGTCCCCTCTTCCTCCTGCTTGGGCTTGGCATGTGAGAAAGGAGAGAATCCAGAACCGAGTCATGACCACAGTGAGAGTGAGCCACACTTTCAACGCCCCCAGGCCCCCCAAAAATCAGTGGACCTTGAGCAGGAGGGGACTCTGAGAAGCCATCTAATCTAGTCATCTCCAAGCAAGTGCACATGCAAACCACCCCAGCAAGAGGCTTGTTGCATTTTGCACACTTGCATGTCCTCAAGTCACCCACTGTCTTAGTAAACCCTAGTTAGTACTCTCCCTGAAATCTCAGGCTGCAGGAACATCTCTGTTTCAGTATAGTTCTCTGGTCCCCAAATTCTGCCTGCACAGTCGTTAGGTTTTCCTGGTTAAAAACCCTTCTTGTGTCTCCCAGCAGGTCTGCCTTCCCTTCCGAATGGAGCTCATTAGAGTTAAGGTACTTAGTTGGAAGTATCTTTTGCCTCAAGCAAGCTTAGGGGTTGCAGCCTCCAGCTCACTGGTGCCACACCAGCTCACCCCCACCCCAGCAGCAGACACCTGTCCCCCACCGCAGCCTGAGGCAGTTGAGGGGTCAGGTGAGCCTTGGCAGGAGGCTCAGCATCCCCCTTCTGATAGAGAGCCAGGCACGGGCCAGATCACAGCCAGGGGGGGACGGGGGAGGATGCTAGGCCACGTTTGGGGTCCCTGTAATGGGAGAAAGGTCGCATACCTGAGCCCCTAGCACCCTTGCGAGTGGGGGGTTGGGAGCAGGTTAGGAGGATTTGATTGGGCAGCTCCAGGGAAGCTGTCCTGGGGGTGGGGCTTGGTAGCGGTTTAGTGGGGACAGGGAGAAGGCAATATGAGCATACATTTTTAAAAAATTATAGCAGGTAAACATCAACATAAACCTGCCCAGGAAAATAGAGCAGGACTTAAAAGTTTAAAAAACCATAACAAAATAGAGCTCTAACTGTAAACTACAGAAAACAGGCTCAGGGAGCTTCCAGGGGCATCGTCCTTGGAGATGCCTGTCCCGCTGCTCCCTGTGAAGGGCCACCTGTCAGAGCACGGGCTTAGGGGGTTCCTGGTTGTACTGCCACTGCTGCCTAGATCTGGGGAGTCTGCCCTGGCTTTGGCTTATTTTCTTGGAGCAAGGGTGACGGGCACAGGCTTCAAGCCAGCACTGCATTTTGAGGCTGCCGCAGAAGCTAGGCTCGGAAGGAAGGCAAAGGACTGCATGTCTCTGGAATCTGCCTGTGCCTTGGGCTGGGACGCAGCCACACCGAACCCTGTGGTCACCAACCTGAACCCCTCGAGGCAGAATTTTCATACCCCACTGGCCTTAACCACCTTCTCAATGAGGCCGTAGCCACTCAGCACTGGCTCCTTCCTCTGGATAGACAAAGAGCCTGGAGCAGGAAGGTGGAAGACCTGAGTTCTTATCCCAGCCCATCACTCACAGGCTGTGTGACCTTGGGAAGTCCCTAACCCTCTCTGGACCTCCAGTTCCTCATCTATAAAGTGAGGGGCTTGGACAGGTTAAGCTCCAAGGCCTCTTCCAGCTCTGACATTCTGTGACTGGTCATAGACCCAGAGCTCAAAATAGGGTGTCCCATTTATTAGCCCCATTTTCCTCTGGGGAAATGCCAAAGAGCAGTCCGAGGCAGCCTGGGAGTGGGTCTTGCCAGGTGGTCCAGGATATTCCTGGGGGCAGGCAGGGCCACGCTGGTCTTCGTCGCTCCCCTGGGGCTCGGGGTCGGTGCAGGGGGAGGCGGCCGCGGGTCTGCAGTTAGAGCCGGAGGAAGAAGCGGGTGCAGGGCTGGCTGTCTCCGGCCCAGACCCTGGAGGGACTGTGCAGGGTGGGTCTTGGCGAGGCGGGGGACCTCCCCAAGACAAGCCCTTTAGTCACCCAGCCACCTTAAGTGGCTCTGTCACTCTGGGCGTGACAGGGTCGTGTTGGCAGTGTTGGCTGAGAGGGTGACATCACCTGGATCGTGACTGCTTCAGACCAAGGCTGGGGCCCCTTCTCCACCAGGTGTCCTGGCCTCTCAACCCTTTTGAGCTCCCGCCCCAGCAGCCTGGAGCGTCATCACCCCAAAGCCGAAGGGGCTGGGGCTCAGGACACTGGTCCTGAGCCGCCTGGGCAGACAGGGGCCCCTAGGGAGTCATGGACGACAATGTCAGGGTCCAGCGGGGCTGCTCCTCAGGAGGAGAAAGGCGGAGAGTTCTTGGTCCCAGGTTTGCAGCTCTGCTTAGACAGAAGCATGCTGGCGTTTCCGCCTGTCCGCTTCCCCAGCCCGCTCGCCTCCGGTGTTCCCGCCGGGCCTCGGCCCCTGCTCTCGAGTGGCAGGGTCCATGTGCGGTCCCGGAGTGCCACCTTTGCTGAGCTGAAGGTGCACGTCTAAACCCCCTTCTTCCATAGGCCTGCTCCTTCCGTCCAGGCACCACGGAGGGTCCAGGCACAGGGTTTAGTGGCATCGTGGACGTGACCGCCTGCTGCCTCTTCATTTAAAGAAAAAAAATCCTCGCGTGGGTTCTAACCTGTGGCAGAATATAAAAATATCCTGCCTCCTACAAAAAGAGCACTGTTTGAAGTAGGTGTTTGAAACCAACCACTCTCGGGCACAGTGTTGGGCCACCTCGGCAGCGGGAAGGGCCAGAGCCAGCTGTCTGTCTGTCTGTCTGTCTGGAGGAAGAGGAGGAGGTGTCCAGCTGTGGCACCGCAGCAGCTGCCGGGATCAGAGCTCCAGAGAGCCTATGAGGACCAGCATTGCCACCGAGTGGGAGAGAACGGTGCCGGGGTGCGGCGCTGGGCGGATGGCCTCGTTCTCCACCATCATGCTTGTGCCTGAAACCAGCGGGAGGGAGGAGGGGGCCGCGTCAGCAGGGCCTGGGACCAGCCCAGCCCCACCCTTGTGACAGGGTCCAGACCTTTCCTAAGGAGACTGTCAGGGGCCGGCTGTGGGCCTGGGTGGTATTAGCATTTTTAAGGACCTTTGTTTTGCTGTTTAGTGTCAGCCTCCCCCCACCCCACCCCCCGCCCCGTACCCCATGCAAAGAGCACACGCATGTCCCCAGCCATCAGGGGAGTTGGGGGGTGGGTAGAAGGGGGGTGGCGCAGGCAATTCTAGCACTACTTTGCATTTGGGTCCCGTCTGCCTGCCTTCCGCCTTCCCCGTGGGGTCTGGGTTGCAGGTGGTTGTGGGGGGGTTGTCCCTTCACTGGGCATCTGGGTTGGCCCCAATGGGGGATCAGGGTGGGGAGGGGCAGCACCTCCGTTTCTCACGATGTGGACTTCTGCCGGGATCCCGTCCCCTCCAGGCCCCGTGGTCCGAATCTGCACCAGGGCATGGCCGATGTCTTCGGGGACCGGGATTTCTATCCAGTTCTTGCTGGTGAGGTGGAGCGTGGGTGCCGGGTGCAGGTCGTTCTGGTACAGCATCTGCGGGAAGGAGGCTCCAGGTGGAGTTCCTTTTTTTTTTTTTTTTTTGAGACAAAGTCTCACTCTGTTGCCCGGGCTAGCGTGAGTGCCGTGGCGTCAGCCTAGCTCACAGCAACCTCAAACTCCTGGGCTCAAGCGATCCTCCTGCCTCAGCCTCCCGAGTAGCTGGGACTACAGGCATGCACCACCATGCCCGGCTAATTTTTTTTTCTATGTATTTTTAGTTGTCCAATTAATTTCTTTTCTATTTTTAGTAGAGATGGGGTCTCGCTGTTCCTCAGGCTGGTCTTGAACTCCTGACCTTGAGCGATCCTCCCGCCTCGGCCTCCCAGAGTGCTAGGATGACAGGCGTGAGCCACCGCCCCTGGCCCTGGGTGGGTTTCTCACACCAGGGCTGATCCTTCTGCCTTCCCAGCTCCAGACACTGGGAGGAGCCTCTATAGTTCAGAGTCCTTGAGGTCCCTCCCCCTCGCCCCTCCTCGTGTCTCCCATTGACCCGGCTCCTTACTGGTGGGAGGAAAGCCTGCAAACAGCTAACGTGTTTTTGCAGACTTCTTAGACTAGAAGGACCCCCAGACTCCACCCAGTCCATCACTGCCCCCCGGAAAACCCCACCTTGCCGCAGCGGCGCCATCTGCCTGTTTTGAGTTTCCACTACAAGTTACCCAGAGAATCATTCGTGTGCTAAGTGCCTCTCGGTCACAAACCCTTTGCCATGCCTCACTTAGATCCCTCCTGCTGTAAACTGCAGCTCCCTGTGTTCAGCAGAGAGACAGGCGCTGTTCCTCACCAGGCCTGGGACGGTCGCTCCCTTCCTCACCTTATACCCGGTGATGGCAGACTCATTGCGGAGAGGGACCACAGGGTCCCACTTGATGCTGAGACTGGAGCCCGAGAAAGTCCAGGAGATGTTGCCGGGAGGTCGTCGTGGAGCTGCCAGGGAGGAGAGTCGGGGGGATGTCCAAACGTTTCCCTGCCCCCTGCACCCCCTAGCCTTTAGCCAGCCCTCTTCTGGATGTCTGCCTGTAGCAGCTGTGCCCAGAACATGCTGTCACCACTGCCTAAGAAACACAGCCCGCGAAAATGCCGAGGTTGGGGAAGAGAGAGGAACTTCAGAGGCCATGAATCCACCCCCTTATTTCCATGGGGCTCGCCGCCTAGTTTCTGTCCAGCCTAGGGCTCGCGGGCTACGGCATTTGTCTTGTCACCGGGGAAAGAGGGATCCCAGAGGCACCCACCCGCCGGCACACCCCCACCCCAGCCCAGGCAGACAGGCTCACGGGGCTTCATGGTGGTGGCATTGGCGGAGGGGCTGGCGGGCCCAGTGCCGGCCCGGTTGTAGGCCCGCACGGTCACGTGGTACTTGGTGTTGGGGTGCAGGCCAGTGACTCGGGCACTGGTGTCCAGCCCCGCTGTCCTCACTCGGTCGGCGGCTGCTTCTTTGTCCCCAGCTCTCCAGTAGCGGATCTGAAGGGGGCCGGGTCCCCAAGGGTCAGCAGTCAAGCAGCGGATCTCAGGGCTGCCCTGGCCCCCCGCGTTCCGTTCCTCTCCTGCTCACCCTGGTCCTCGAGACTCAGGCTTGAGTCTCAGAACCCGGACACTAGATCATGAGCACCCAGAGAGCAGGGCCACCTTGACGTGAGTCCCTGCTGTCTCTTGGTGCCCAGGAAGGTGCCCAAGACTCGGCTGCATGAGGGAGCCGGTGGGCGATGGCCTGCGGGAAGCCACCCTCACCTCGTTAACACAGGAGCTACCCTGGGATTCTGCTAAGGGATGCGAAATGCATATTTGTTCTTGCAAAGTGGACGATGGCCGCCCAACAGATACAGAGCCATTGTAACGGCGGTCGTGACATTATTATAAGACCTGCTAAACACTCTTCCACATCAAGGGCAGAGTTTGGATTATCGCCTCACTGTGGCTTGCCTAAGCTGTCGCACTCAAATCGAGAGCGGACTGTACGGGAATGAATTTGCACGGTCCCTGGCAGGCCAGCTTGGGCACACTCCCTCAGGCAATGCCGGTTCTCGCTTTTCCCGCTTTCCCTCCCTCTCGCTCCCGGTCGCGTTCCATCTACTCCACAGGTGCCTGGCGTGGAGTCGTCAGTGGGCCCGGATGTCCCCAGGGACAGGACGATCGCCTGTACTTGGAGGGGCTCGTGCTGTCCTCTGCAGCCCCAGGAGGCCAGGCTGATCCGGGGCAGAGTCCCAGCCGGAACGGGCTTTGGCACGAGGGGCAGGCCGTGCCCCCCAGACCCCCTCCTCCCTGGCCTTCCAGCTCCAGCCAAGCATGTCCTGCAGGGCCGGCCCCAGGTCTGTCTGCCCCAGTGGGCGTCAGCGTGGCTCTTAGCACGGGTTGCATCCGCCGTGCTGCGCAGACTGGGGCTCACTTTGCCGTGTCAGTGACAGGGGACTCCAGAGGAATGACTAGTGGGCCGTGAGTTGCCCCCACCTGGCCTTGAAGCCCCAGCACCCCTTTCTCTCCCGGGCCCCAGGTGGGAGCTCACCTCGTACCCCAGGAGGATGCCATTCATGTCCTGCTGCACGGGCTCCCAGGTGACATTCATCTCGGAGGCCGAGATCCCCTTGGCCCAGACCTTGGCGGGGGCCACCCTGGGTTCTGGGGACCGATAGAGAACGGGTTTCGACTCCCAGGGCCTCCCTGGGTCCTACAGAGAAGCCCACAGCTGGGGCTGCCTTTGCTTAGGGTTTGCAGGGAGAGCCCAGGGCCCAGGTCCAAGGCCAAGTGGGACCCCAGAGCATGCCTCAGGGCCCACTCCTTCCCCCGCCCAAGAGGAGACAGGTAGCAAGGGCCAGAGTGCGGTGGGTGGCTGGGAGCCCAGGTGTCCTCTCCACCTGCTGCGGAATGGAGCTGGGGGATGAGTCGATCTCCCCGCCCCGCACTCCTAGCGACAGGTGGCTGGGGCGGGGCGAGGGTGGTGGTTGGGGGGGGGGGCAGCCCACCTTCCTCGGCCGAGTACACGAGTGCGGTGAGGCTCTCGGGCCCATCCCCGCGGCGGTTGTAGCTGCGGATCTTGACCTCAAAGGGCGTGTAGGGCCGGACGCTGTCGTTGCTGTAGACGAAGTGCTGGGCGTCGGCGCCGGGCACGCGGGCGGTCTGCCAGCGCGAGCTGCCCTGCCTGCGGAAGGACAGCAGGTAGCCGAAGCCGTCTCCGTTCTGGTACTCCCGGGACACGGGCTGGGGGCAAGAGCGTGGCGTGGGCGAGGGCCGTGGGCGTCTCCCTGCCCGTCCTCTGGCCCCACCCAGCCTGCGCCGCGAGGGCCTCCACGCGCAGGGCATTCGCGGGAGGGCTGCGGGGCTTGGGGCAGAGCCGCGCAGTGTGCGGGGCGAGCAGGCAGGAGGGCCGGGGCGCCTGTCCCTGCTGGGCTTACCGTCCAGTTCACGATGAGCTCTCCCGGGGCTCCACCTCCTCCGCTGAGCCCTGAGGGCGCCACCGAGGGGGCTGTCGGGCACCAGGGGACACACGTGTGACTTGTTAATGGGCAACAAGGGAGCAGAAGCCCCGAGCCTGCGCCTGCAGAGCGTGCTAGGATGGGGCTCCCCTTCAAGGGGGCCCTGCTTTGTCCTCCAACAGCCCCTCTGGGCGTGTGGCTCTGGAGTCAGGCAGGCCCGGGATCAAACCCCACCTCTGCCACTTGCTAGCTGTGTTTCCCGGGGCAAGTCACTTAACCTTTCTGAGCCTCTGATTCTCCTCTCCACGAGGATAGTCATGTTTCTCCCGAAGGCCGTAATGAGCGTGGAATTAAACAAGAGGGTGGCTAGCGTGTTGTGGATGTTCCACATGGGATCGCTGTATTGCTCACCCCTGTCAGCTTAAACTAAATCGCAGAGAATAAGCCGTTTACTTGAAATTAAGAGGAATAAATAACCCAGAACTGCAGTTAATGCAAAAAAGAAAAAAAGAAAAAAAAAACAGTTCCAGGGTGTTTTATTACTATTTTTCTTTTTGTGGCACATTTAATTTCCTAACTGTCTCTAGTATTAAACAAGGCTGATATTATAGGAAGAATCAATTTCTTCAGCTCACGCTTGGCAGGGAGTAACTTGGCTGAGGGTCAAAATATTTCTGCAGAGAATTCAGCAAATTGGAGACTTTTCTCTTGGTTCTGGTGACAGTATCTTAGGGCTTTGTAACTTGCAAGGGGCACTTAAACACATTGCCCATCTGATCCTGTGAGGAGGGCGTTATAATTGTCCTTTTCAGGGTGGAAAGACTAAGGCCCAGAGAGGTTAATCAACTTGCCTAAGGTCACACAGCTAATACATGGCATAGCTAGAATTTTAACTCAGCTCTTCTGATGCTAAAGTTTATCATCTTTCCTTTGCGTCACCGCTGGCTTTGTGCTCACCATCTCCTGGGATACTAGAATAAAGGAGTCCCCTTCCTACCCCACATTTGACTCTCCAAGAAGTTTGGGATCAATAAAGGAAGTGCTCCCCCTGAAATTTCTTTCTCGGAGGGGAGGGTACTACCAGAAAAAAAAAATGTTGAGTGATTCCAGAAAGAGCTGGGAGAGCCAGCCTGCGGCATGGAGGAGAACATGTTTGTTCAAGGGAGGCAAGACTTGCAGCGTGGCGGGGCTGGGCAGGTGCTGGAGGGGAGGCAGGGACTGATTGCTACGCTTCGTGTCCTGGGATACCAGGGCTCTCATCCCAGGCCCCCGCCGCGATGCTCCGAGGGTGGGCCGGGCCCCCGTCTCCCAGGGCCTCGCCTCCCTTCCTTCCCCGCTCGGGCTCTGACAGCCACACGCCTTTCTCTGAGGGCTGCCGGCAGATTATTGATTTCTCCTGCTCCCAAAGAAACCATCCAAAGAAGGGCTCGGACACACTGGCTGCTTCCCTAGCCCAGGCCAACACACACACACACACACACACACACACACACACAGACACACACACAGACACACACACACAGACACACACACACAGACACACACACACACACACAGACACACACAGACACACACACACACAGACACACACACACACACACAGACACACACACACACACACACACACACACCTTCCACATCAACTGATTCCTGCAGCTCCTGCACTGCCAGGAGGACATCTGCCTCCCCACTCCCCCTTGGTCCTGGGTTCAAGTCCACACTCTGTCAGTGTGACCTTTCCCTTCTCCAAATTTTGGGTTTTCCATTTTTAAAAACTAAACTTAAAAGAGTTATAGAGTCACATGCGGTTGCCCAGTTTTTAAACGAGGAGTTTGGACCAGATGGTTCACCCATGCAGTGGCCCTGGTCCCTGCGTGGTGTCCTTTCCAATCTGTTTCGTTAGAGAGTCTGTAGCTGGCAAGAAGGGTTGGAACTCGGCGTGACTGCTGCTGGTCCGGGGGTCCCTCTACAGGGGGCCGGGGTCTCTGCCCTGCCGACAGTTCTCTTTGGGACGCCCGGGGCTCTGACCTGCATCCTTGGTCCGGATTTTGCTGGAAGGCCCACTGGGCTCGCCAGTGCCCAGGATGTTGCTGGCTGAGACCCGGAACTCATAGTCCATCCAGGGCGTAAGGCCCAGCACCTGCGCGGTCTCGGCGTTGCCCTCGATGTTCGCAGGATCTGCGAGGCACCAGGAGTCAGTGTTTGGGTGTCTGTTCATTCTCCCGGATGTAGAGGGCAGGCGCGGGGCCTGAATCCCCACTTCGTACCCAGCCCTCGCGCGGTACCCGCTATATACGAAGCACTCATACCTCTTTCAGAAATGACTGGAAATGAGCAAACCTGCCTGTCTCGGTGCCTTTGCTCATGCTGTGTGTACCCTGCACCCCACAGATATTTCCACTGCTCCAGCAGCGACCCTACCAGCTCTGCAAGGGCACACACAGCGCCGCCGCCTCTGACCCTCTCCTCACTCTCCCGTCTCCCTGCCTGCCTGGGTGCTCCCCGCTGGCCGAGGGCAAAGCTTGTCCCTCTGTGCAGCTCCAGGCTCAGCCCTGGCCCTCCAACCCCTGACACCGGGTCCCCGACCCTTCCCACCTGCCATGCCCGCCGGCCCATCAGCGCTGACCCGCAGGGCCTCACACTTACTGGTCCGAACCTGCTTCCACTTCCCTGCAGGCGGAGTGCGAGCTTGCAGGGTGTACTTGGCAATGGGGCTGTGGTTGTCAAAGCCACGGCTCCAGCTGAGCTGGACAGTGGTGTCGCTGATGTCCCTCACCACCACGCCTCCTGGGGGACCTGGCGGACCTGCAGCAGGAGGTCGGAGCACAGTGGGTCAGAGCTGGACCAGCCTCCTGCAGGCCAGGCTCGGGCTGGTGCAGTACCAAGACAGGGCAGCAGGGGGCGCCATGCACACCCTAGGTTGGTGGGGGAGAGGCTTTGAAAGCCTCTGGCTCAGCAAAGTACTCTCATCTTAGCATGTGTTTGGGAGTGAAGTTTTTAAGAGTCTGGCTTTGGAAGAAAAATATTCTACTCATTAAGGACCTGTGCAGAACCACAGGGTATGGCCAGCTCAGCGACTTCTGTCGGGAGCCCTTCCGTGGCTTTGAGGGAGAGGAGGGGAGACCGGGAGAGCAGGTCGGGCAGCCCCTAGGGAGTCAGTGGGGGTAGAGGGGGCAAATCCCAGCACCTCGGACCAGGACCGTGGCCTCCTTGGATGCGCTGTCCACCACCGTCTGGGCCATGCACGCGTACTTCCCCCCGTGGCGCAGCTGGGCGTTCAGGAGGGTCAGATCCCCTACAGTCTCCTTCTGCACACAGGGGACAGCGGGGGTGGGGGGAGGTCAGTGGAAGTCGCCCTGGCAGGTGCAGTGGGCCACGGGACACGAGGCAGAGCGTGGGAGCCCCGCTCCGTGACGTCCGTGCCCCCTCTGCGTCTCAGTTTTCCTGTTTGCTCCGTGGGAGGAATCAGCTACTCTCCACTTTGCACCACTGGGGACTAAAGGACACAGTTTGTTACAGGAGACAGTCAGCGAAAGTCCAGGCTAACAGCGACATTTGTGCTGGGGGCAGGCTAGCAAGGGCAGCGGTGGGAGCGATTCTTTCTGGGTGCCTGGAGCTCCAGGTTTCCCCCCAGCCCTCTCCTAAATGAATGTTCCCGGGTGGAACCCAGGAAGGGTGGCTATTAATCCAAGGATGAGCTTGCTGCGCGCAGGCCTGAGGGAGTAGGGAAGGGTGTGGGGGGCTGGGAGGCGGCGATGGCTAAGGACATCTGCCTATCTGGAAGGAGGGAGGAGGCACGGGGGCTCTGGCCTCGGGCCTCACCACGTTCGCCCTCCGGTAGTGCCCCCCAGGCTTGTCGAAGTCGATGGGGAAGTCGTCCAGCGTCCAGGTGAAGGTGAGGTCCATGGTGGGGTCATGGGAGGCGTGGCACTGCAGGGTCAGGTTGTCACCCAAGTTAATGTCGGCACTCGAGGGGGCCAGGGTGATCTTGGTTGCGTCTGCCGAGAGAAACAAGGCCCCTGGGTGGATGGGGGAGGAAATAGGCCCAGGCATGGGCCGAGGGGCAGGGCGAGAGGCTCGGTCCTAAGCCCCGGGAAAGAGAAGAGGTGGTGTGACCAACACACGTCCTGACCCCTCAGCAGCCCCGTGAGTGTGGGGCAGGCAGGGAGGCATGACTGGGCTCTAGGTGGTGGCCAGGGTGTGGTCCCAGGTGACACCAAATCCTGGGGTAGCAGTCTCCACACCACACTAGGAGCAATATGGAGACAGGAGCAGGGTGGTGGGGACGGTGGCACCCTGGGCAGCGGAGCCCCCGATCTCACCAAACCACAGCCCTCACCGCGCACGGACAGGATCCCGGTGCTGTTGGCTTTGCCCATGAAGTTCTCGGCAAAGCAGGTGTATTTGCCTTCATCTGACCGGCTGATGTTTCTTATGATCAAGGTGCCATCCGGAGTGACAGTTACTCTGCAGCAAGGACAAAGCAGATCTGGCCAACCCTGAGACACACTGCAGTCACGGGAAGGGGACTAACCTCCAAGAAGGACGAGGAGGGGCAGGAGCTGCCCAGGGTGGGGTGCGGGTGCTACCTGCTGCTGTTGACCAAAATCTCAGTGCCTTTGCTCCAGAGCACCACGGCCTTTGGAGACGCCCGGGGCTGGCAGGGGATAACGACCTCTCCCCCTCGGGCTGCAGGGATCAGACGCCTCACGGGACTCAGCCTGAAGTCGGGGGCAAGTGCTGGAAGGAAAGGGGAGAGCCAGACAGTCAGCCGCCGGATCACGACAGCGCCTATCGCCCTTGATTAAGATGTCACCTGGCTACTCTCCAAGGCCAGCCCATGCGTGACTCACAGCGGCACCACGTCCAGGACACATCCAGAATCCAGCCCCCTCTCCCCACCCCTGCTGCCGTCCCTCTGGCCCAAGCCCAGTCTCCTGCCTGGACAACCGCAAGCCCCACGGATCGGTCGTCCTGCTTCTGCGCTGCCCTCCTCGGTCTCTCCTCCCAGCAGCCAGCCGGGAACGGCTCTTTAAAAACTCATTATGCGCCACTCACCTGGCTGATTTTTTGTCCTTTGAAGTTACAAAGTCTTTTCCTGCCCCCAGACCTTTGCGCTTGCTGTAAATTTTGCCTGGAAATTCTCCAGATCTTCACATGGCTGGCCCTTCTTAACGCTCACATCCCCAAGTACTTCCTCGGGGAGGTCTTCTCCTGCCGCCCCTTCTAACTGGCCCCTCATCCCCATCGCTCTGCTGGATTCTCTTTTCTTTTTTTTTTTTTTTGAGACAGAGTCTCACTTTGTTGCCCGGACTAGAGTGAGTGCCGTGGTGTCAGCCTAGCTCACAGCAACCTCAAACTCCTGGGCTCAAACTTCTGCCTCAGCCTCCCGGGTAGCTGGGACTACAGGCATGCGCCACCATGCCCGGCTAATTTTTTCTATATGTTTTTAGTTGGCCAATTAATTTCTTTCTATTTTCAGTAGAGACGGGGGTCTCGCTCTTGCTCAGGCTGGTTTCAAACTCCTGACCTGGAGCAATCCGCCCGCCTCGGCCTCCCAGAGTGCTAGGATTACAGGAGTGAGCCACCGCGCCCGGCCTGCTGGATTTTCTTTATGCTGTATTTTTTTATGGCACTCTGAAATTATTTAATTATTTGGTTTTGTGTTTATTTGTCCCTCTCCCTCTCCTGGATTGTAAACTACTTGAAGGCAGAGACTGATCTTTCATGTTTATTCCCTAGGAGGTGTTGAGTAAGTATTGGTTGAATGAATGAATGGTCTTGGTTAAGCCTCACTACAACTTGATAAGGTAGGTATCATTACGTCCACTTTACAGATGAGGAAACTGAGGCTCAGCGAGCACTAGCTGACATTTACTGGGCACCCATTATATGATGGGCAGACCCTCACCCATCTATCTCTTTTGCTCCTCCCGAAAGCCCAGGAGGGCAGGGCTGTGATTGCTCATATTTTATAAATCAAGAAAGCGAGACACAGAAGCACAGTAACTTGCCTAAGCTCACGTAGCTGGATGGGCTCGGTTAAACGCAGGTCTGATTGATTTGGTTTTCGCTGACTTTTGTCCCATTTTTTTTCACTGCAAGCAAACATTGCCTTTGCCTCTGCCAGACATGGGACAAGTCTGAGACCCTATCCTGTGGAGCCCTCAACCTAGCAGCTCACCTCCTGTCTCAGGTCTCTGAGTTCTCCTACTCCAAAGCCACTGGAAAACCAAGGAAAACTGCCCGTGTGTGTGTGTGTGTGTGTGTGTGTGTGTGTGTGTGTGTGTGCGCGCGCGCGCATGCGCGCGCGCGCACTTAGCAATGCCTACACTCAGACCTCCCACGTCCCCACCTGTGGACCTCGGGGATGTCCCCTGCCCGCCTGGGCCCTTTACCTTGCACGGCCAGCTCGGCGCTGGCGTAGATGGTGCCGTGCTTGTTCTCGGCCACACACTGGTACATGCCGGAGTCCTCCAGGCTCAGCTTGGAGAAGCGCAGGTCCCCGGCCAGCACCTCCACCCGGTTCTGTGCAGAAGAGCCGGCCCAGGACAGGGCAGGGGCTCAGGGCCACGGGAGGCCCAGGCAGGAGGGGCTGGCAGGGTCGGCACGGTGGAGACCCCGGGCTGATGACCCCTCAAGGACGCGGCTCATTTGTCGAGTCCCACCCCAGGGCCGCCTGACATCTCAGGACTCTGCCTGAAGCCAGAGGGGCAAGGTGGCCACATCCTTTTTTTGTGGCTGAGCGGTGCCTGGACCCAGGTCTCTGGGGCTCTATCAGGTTGGCCATGGGACTCTGGGATGGCAAGACGCACCTAGGACCACCCTACGGCACCCTCATTAGCTACCAGAGGGGCCACCAGTGGTGTGGGGGAGGCCTTGGGGAGCGGGGGAGCAGATGTCAGGGGCGGCGTGTGGGAAGGAGCCCCAAGTGTCCTACCTGGGAGGCCAGCGGCTCCCCGTTCCGCAGCCAGCGCACTGTGGGCCGGGGCTTGCCGGCGGCCGCGCAGCCCCAGCGCAGGTTGGAGCCGATGTCGGCCTCCGTGTCCGAGATCACCTTGAGCCACTCGGGCTGCGCTGTGGGGAGCAAGGGAAAGAAAACGCGGTGAGCCGGGAGGGGCGCAGCTCCTCCGGTGGGGGGAAAACAAGGCTGCAGTACCTGTGCTGGGCGACAGAGGGCGCCGCCAGCACTCCGGGACGGAGGCCCGGGGCAGGGAGGAGGAAGGAGGCCGCAGGAGGGTGGCTGCGCTCGGGCCGGTGGCTTCAGTCATTCCAAAGCCCCCGCGTGCTTTCCGCACCCCTGACGGAAGCACGAGCCGGCCACAGCACGAGCCTCCCCTCCTCCCACACCCCTGCAGCCCCGGGGCCTCCCAGGCCCTCTCCTGCCTGACTTTGGGGTCTGTGTCCTCGCGGACAAGGCTGAGGGTGGCGGCACGGGCGGGTGTCCCGGTCCTGTACCCTGCACGATGATGCGGCCCTGGACGGTGTCGCGGCCCTTGGAGTTCTCCGCCTCGCACTCATAGGTGCCCTCGTCCTCGAAGCTGACGCTGGGGATCTGCAGGGTGGGCTCGGCGGTGGCCCACTGCGGGGACAAGGAGCCGTCCACCTTGCGCCACTTGATCCGCGGGACGGGGCTGGCAGGGGAGACAAAGCGGGAGGGGCGGGGCTGGGCTGGCAAGTTCCTCGGGCCCAGACCCCTGGCCCTCCAGAGAAGCTGGCAGGTGGGTCTGGGCAGGGGACAAGGGGACCCTGGGCCTGGGAGGGAAGAGAGGTGGCTGCTGGCCTGTTCTCCAGCTCTTTCCCCGGGTGGGCTGGGAGCACAGGCTGGGGAGGGACAAGAGGCAGGGCTCCTCTACCCCTGTCCTCACCAACCGTTGTGGCCAGGGAGGTTGGTCTTCTGCACCTTGTGTACCCTGAAGCCGGCTCGCCCTCCCCTGTGCGGGTCACTGTGTCTCTGGTCCTGCCCTCCTCTGCAGTAGCCTGTGACTTGGGTCCTCACAGGTTCCCTTTCCCAGCTCCCAACAGGGCCTGACCTCTTAGTCTTCAAAGGTTATTAGTAATCTGCCTGCTAACATGGACTGAGGTCTCAGTGAGTCCCTAAAGGCTCAATCTGTCACCCTTCCATGTGCTTTTCAGATGGATTTTCTGGAAGCAGTAACGTTCCAAAAAGTAAAGGCCATCCCAGGTAACCTCAGGAGTGTTTGGGGGACCAAAGTACAAATCACATGGTTTCATTGATTCCACGAACATTTATTGAGCACCTGCTATTTGCTTAGCCCTGTTCCAGTGAATCCTGTTTCTGGGGGAGCAAGAAAGGCAATGCTTTCTGTCGTAGCTCTTAAATAGGTAACTGTTAACATTTGCAGAACCCTCACTAAATACCAGGCACTATTCTAAGCGCTTCACATATGTCAACTCATGGAATCCTCATAACAACCTTGTGAGGTGGGTACTATTGTTATCACCATTTACAAATAAAGAATGTGAGGCACAGAGAGGTTAGGTGGTCTACCCAAGGTCTCCCAGCCAGCAAGTGGCAGAGCTGGGATTTGAACCGGGCAGGCTGGGGTGGCGCCCGCACACTGTGCTGCCCGCCCGCGGGCCTGGGTGTTACTCAAGCTGTCCCGTGCATTGCAGGGAGGACCAGGCGATGTGCTGTGTGTAAGGTCTCAGGTGTATGTGATGCCTCACCCTGAGCGTTAGTGCTCAGCGAGCGTGTGCTCAGTCCCTCCGACCCTGTGAGGGACACCAACATGACTAAGCACCAGCCCTGCCTGCCCTCAGCCGGGGGTCCCCTGTGGCCTCCTCTGAGGGGCTGTGCCTCCCTCTTCCATCACTCACTTCCCAAAAGCGAAGCACTCCAGGGTGACCTGCTGCCCCACCAGCGCGTAGGTCTCTGCTGGGAACCGGGCCTTGATGCTGGGCGCAAAGAGCCGGGTATCTGGGGAGAAAGGGGTTTCGCAGGTCAGACGCCAACGACTCCAGGTCAAGTGCTCCTGCGTTAGGGGTCTGTGCCTGGGCAGCTGTGTGGCGTCTCAGAAGACTCTCCCCTTGGGGCCGGGGCTGGGAGTCTGAGGGAGGCCTTGCAGCAGGAGGACCGGGCTGATCTTCAAGGGAGAAGCCCTTTCCCACGCTGGCCGGCCCTTCCAGCCCTCCTCCCCGCCGCGCCCGGCTAGTCCTGACCTTCGGCAGCCAGGTTGAGCTGAGCGAACTTGCTGAAGACACTCTTGGTGGAGAAGTCCATGTGGCTGGTGGCCAGGCAGGAGTAGTTACCCAGGTCCGAGGCGTTGGTCCGGGCAATGTACAGGTTCCCTGTGGTCTGGGACACGAAGTGACGCCCGTCCGTCGGGATGAAGTTGGGGAACTCGTTGAGGAGCCAGCGGTAGGACAAGCCTAGGACGGGGGTAATTTGAGGAAACCAGGGGGTGCTGGGCGAACAGGGCCACTCCGGGTGGGAGCCCAGCATGTTGGTGGCCACGTGCCAACCCTGTCCTGAGAGCCCCCGTGCTCTGCTCCAGGGCTTCGGGGAGACCTAGAGGGAAGACTCGACTTTGTCCCTGCCCTCCAGTCTCAAGGGGGAGGCAGGGCACAGTCTTAGAAAGGGACAGATCCATGAAGGGAACACAGATCGTTTCAAGCTGGGGCCCCAGGGACCAGTGCCCCCATGGGTCACTCACCACCTTTCATTCCATCCTCCTTCTGCCAAGCATCTAGAAGCCTTCCTGAGCCCTCTGTCCGACCCCACCCGGGCTCCCAACTCACCTGGGTAGTGGGCAGGCGGGTTGCAGGGCAGCATCACGCCCCAGCCTTCGTGCGTTTTCACTGGGTCTCGCTCCTCCTTGGAGAACTCCTGCAGAACTGGAGGCCAGACCAGGGGGCTCAGGCACCCGCTCCCGGCCTGGGAGACCCTCCCGCTCGTCCTCCCGGGGAGCAGCAGTTGGCTAGGGCAGGTCACGTGAGGTCAGGAGAGCCCGGCTGGAGGGTGCCACCTGTCCTTTCTGGGTACACTCTCCCAGCCCTCCGTCCCCTCCCCCAGAGCGTCTAGGTCCCCGAGGTCTCACAGCCGAAGCGGAGGACGGCCTCCCTGCTGACCACAGTGCCCACTGGGTTGGAGGCCAGGCACTGGTAGGCGCCGGCGTCCTGTGCCTTGGTGGGGTTCATGATGACCAGGTTGCCGCCCACCAGCTGGTGGCGGGAACCCGGCTCCAGCTTCATCTCAGTGCCGTTCATCTTCCACCTGCGGCAGGTGCGGAGGGGGGGGTGCTCTGAGTCCTGCAGGGGGCAGGGCTGATGTGAGGAGGGACTCCCCAGCGCCCCCGGCAGGGGCCTCACCGGTAGGTGGCCGGAGGGCTGGCCCGGGCCCGGCACGCCAGCAGCACCTGCTCCTCTGTGGACTCCTCTGGGAACAGCAGACCAAGGGGCTGCTCTTCAAAGACAGGCCCAAAGGTGGCCGGGGACCCCCGGGCTGAAGTCCAGGCTGCAGAGGAGGGACAGCAGCAGAGGCCTCAGGGCCTGGGCCCCGGCTGGAGCCCCCTGGCCGCCCGGGCCCCGCTGTCCGGTAGGACCGTCTGTGACGGTGGCAGTGCTCCACTTCTGCACTGCTCAGTGCGGGATCCACTGCCACGTGGCCGCTGAGCACTGGAAATGCAGCTACAGCGGCCCAGGAACCATATTCTTTATTTTATATTATTTTAATGAATTTGAATAGGCTAGGCGGGTCCCCTCTGGTCATGTTAGCTTAGTCAGTCACCCATCCTACACTCAGGTATTGAGTACCTCCTGTATACCTGGCACTGGCTAGAGACTGGCTTGCAAAAATGATTCCGACACAGTTCCTTTTCTTCAAGGAGCTTGCAGTCCATGGAGAGGACAGGAAGCCGACAGGACAAGGCGGCAAATGCCAGAGTAGTGGCTTATGTTCAAGACTCTGGGACCCTCAGAATGGAAGCAGCTGCCACTGCCCCGGGCTCTCGTGTGAGCCTCACAGAAGAAATGATCTGCAGGCTGTGACATGCCTAAGAAGCCGCCGCTCAAAAAGGTTCAGAGAGGCTGGGTAAGGTGGCTCACGCCTGTAATCCTAGCACTCTGGGAGGCTGAGGCGGGCGGATTGCTCTAGGTCAGGAGTTCGAAACCAGCCTGAGCAAGGGCGAGACCCCATCTCTACTATAAATAGAAAGAAATTAATTGGCCAACTAATATATATAGAGAAAATTAGCCGGGCATGGTGGCGCATGCCTGTAGTCCCAGCTACTCGGGAGGCTGAGGCAGGAGGATTGCTTGAGCCCGGGAGTTTGAGGTTGCTGTGAGCTAGGCTGATGTCACGCACTCATTCTAGCCTGGGCAACAAAATGAGACTCTGTCTCAAAAAAAAAAAAAAAGGTCCAGAGAGGACGTGTGTCCCTGGAGTCTAATGCCCCTTCAGGGACAGTGTGGCCCAACAAAAAGGACCCAGGCCGGGCCTACCAGCTGCGTGAACTTGGGCAAGTTACAGAACCCTCCTGAGCCTCGATGTCTTTATCTGTGAAATGGAAAGAATGTGAATTCCCCTCCCAGGTCTGCGGGAGGATTCAGCCAGAGAAACACCGGTGAGGTGGCGGGCACAGGGCACAGGGCGTGTGCTGGGCAAATGTCTGCTGGACCCAAGTGTGGGGTGGGTGGGGACTGGCAGGAGAGGGCAGGTCTCATTGTGGGCTGGCTGCTTTGGTGGCAGTTCTACAAAACCCTGGTGTCACAAGAAATGCCCAGGAGAGGAAGTGGCTTGCCCTGTCTGCAGCGCAGACAGGTCTGGATCTCCTGAACTTGCAGAACAAACGGGCCTCACACAGGCAAGTGGAGCTGCCCTGCCCGGCCCTGCTCGGGGCAGACGCCTCTCTCTCCATGGGTGCCTCACCGGGGCAGGGGCAGGACAGCAGAGGCTCTGTCTGCTGGCCGGTGGGGACAGTCCACTTTGCCTCTGTGGCATCAGGCGGAGCCAGGCCGCCCCTAATTGGCTCCTACCTCCCAACGCAGCTGATTTCAGGCCCTCCTTGGTGGGGCTCGGGGGGAGAGATCCCCATTAACCAATTAGTGCCTCCTCTCCTGGCGCAGGCAGCTGTCAATCCTCTTCCGGGGGTCCCCGTGCTGCAGCTGAGGCCCGGCCCTGGCCCCCTGGGAGGGAGGGCAGCTGCTCAGTAGCTCTCGGAATGAGGTGGGAGGCAGGGCTCCCAGAAATGGCCCGGTGCAGGTGGCCCCCGCGCCACTCTCCCTCTCCGCCGCCCCGGGCCTGGAGCACCTCGCCGCGACGGCACCATCTCAGCTGGACAGCCCGGTTTAATCCCAAGTTAATGACGGTGGTGGAAGGTGGGGACCCTGCCCCAGCTGGCACTGCTGGGAGGGGAGGCAAAGCGGGGCCGAGGAGGCAGCGGGCTGCTGGGGACCTCCTTGTACAATTGCAGCTTCCAGGAACTCTGCTGGGGGCGGGGGTGGCTGGGTGGACCAGGGCACGCTGATGCTTTCAGACTATCTTTCTTCCTGAAAGAGCTCTGTCCTCTGCACGCAGCCGTCCGCACACCCTCGCACTCCCCCAATACCCATTTCCACACCTCCCACCTCCCCAACCCTCCAGCACGCTCACTCACGCCACGCACACATGCAAACACGCATCGCTATGCACGTGCCTCTCTGAGCTACTCCGATGGCCAGACGCTCACACCTGTACACACACCCGTGCCGCGCACAGACAGCTGCAGATGGCCCTGTGCACGCTCTTGCATATATCCGCGCGTGCATAGTGATACAAATAGGAGCTATCGATTGATTGAGCACTTAACTGTTTATCAGACACCATGCTCCGTATTTCCTTCTCGTAGCCTCTTTACAAGATGGGTGTGGCCAATCGCTTATTTTACTAACATGGAGACAGAGACTTAGAAGGCTTAGGTAACTCGCCCCAGCTCCCACAGCGAGGAACTCGCTCAGAGGTAAGGATCCAGACTCTCTAGGAGTGAGGCCCAGGAATCCAGCTTTTTGAAAATGCCTCGTGGGCATTCTGAGGCCAGCTGGGGTTGAGACCGGTGTGCTGCGCGGGCGAGGCCTTCTAGACGCAGCCGTCACCCCGTGCGGCCGCCCCTGCCCAACTGCTCGCCGCACCTCCACCCTCCCAGACACACCCCGCGCCTGCCCCACGGCCACATACAGCCAGCCCGCACGCGTGCCTTCCACGAGCGTGTGCTCACGTGCATGCACACACAGCCCCGGGCAGAGCCAGGCCCTCCTGCGGCTCTGGTCCACACCCTCCCTGAGTCTCTCCTGGCTCCCCGTCCTGTAACTCTCTGCCCAAACCCAGGCATCAGGAACCTTCCCGAGGAGGGGGCCGGAGGGGTGAGAGGGTGAGAACCCTCCCTGCCTGTCCGTGCACAGGCTGCCGGGCATCTGAAGCTGTCCCCACTGTCCCCCGAGGACCGGTCAGCAAGGGAGGCCGAGAGCTGAGGCACCTTGCCAGGAGGCGTGGGAACACAGGATGGCATGTGCCACTCCTGTCTCTCCCGGGAGCCCCAGGAGGTGGCAGCCCAGGCCTGACACCTGGGCAGTTGCCTTCCTGGGTCTCTGGGTCAGCGGGCCCTGCAGGCTGCCCCTGCCTCCGAGGGTGCATGTCCTGCGCTGGGCTGGCCCTGAGGGGGCTGGAGGAGCCCAGTCGCCTCTCCTCTGCTCTCTCTGCGGGGGTGTCCCCGCCCGGCAGCTCCCGTCAGTCTGGTGGGCCTGGGCCGGGACGCTAGATCTGGGGGGCTAGGTGGCGCCCCTCACCCTGGGGGTCAGCCCTGTTTCCCAGCAGCCTCGCTGACGTGGCTGCAGGGCTGGGAGGCAGGTAGGACAGAAGGAGGACGTGTGAAAGTGTGCCAGTGGGGCCCTTCCCTGGTGACACGAGGCCCTAAAACGCATGGCTGCAGCCTGGCAGGGGTGTGGGGCGGGGAGGCAGAGTCTGAGGTGGCTAGAGCTCCAGGAGGAGCATGGGGGGAGGGAGATGTTTAGGGAGAAAAGAGACGCCTATTGATGGGGGCTGAGGGTCAGGGCAGAGGCCACGCCGTGGTCCCCAGGCCCCTGAGGACAGAGCCCTGTGGCTCTCCGGCTCCTGTGCTCTCCACAGCCCAGCTGGCCCAGGCCTCTCAGCCCGCCCCGCCCTCCTCGCCACTCTCCCCTTCTGCCAGCCTCCCCCCTGCCCTGCTCCAAGCCGGGAGCACTCCACAGGGAGCAACTGGGCTCGCCTGCTCTGCCTCGCCTCCCCTTCCAGTCCGTTTGCTGGGCTGCAGCGTGGCCCTACGGACCCCTCCCAGAGTGTCGTGGGGCTGACCGCTGTCTCCTCGTGGCGGGGAACTACGGAGCACTGTCCGGGGGGACTTCCTGCCCTGGTGCAACGTTCTATCTTTTGCGCAGCCCCACACGGTTGTCGGACACCGCGCTGTGGCCAGCGCCACCGAGGAAAGCACCCTTAAAACTGAGCCGGATCCCACGTGGCTGTCGCCTCCCACACCGGACCGTCAGCTCGGAGGCTGCGACTCGGGGCTGACAGCGTGGGGGTCGGGTCGTGCCCTGCTCTTGCTGTGTTCCCCAGGGCAAGCCGCTCATCCTCTCTGGGCCATTCCTCCTTCCCCCATAACACGGCAAAGCTGTGTCCCCTCTCCTCCTAGCCTCAGGGGAAGGGGGATCCACAAATGGAAACGTCCTGAGACAATCTAGGCGCTACAGCACACACAGAGCGGATTATTTCTGTCGTCTTCACCCAAACCGCAGCAGTGACAAACCGATGTGGTCGGCCCTGCTAGGCTTCGAGCCCAGAGGAGCCCCCTTACCTGGAGAAGAGACGAGGGCCGCGGCCGCCAGCAGCAGCAGGTGCAGCTTCCTCCGGGCGGGTGTCCCCATGGCGGTGTTGGGGGTAGAGGTGGGGATCAGAGGAGGAGCTTCGGCTCAGCCCGGGGTGCGTCCAGCTGGGGGCAGAGAAAGACCTGGGAGACGGGCAGACGGACGGACGGACGGATGGACGGAGAGGTCTGAGCGGAGGAGCGCCCCTCCAGCTCCGAGCGCGTCTGGGCCGGCAATGCTTTCACCTCCGCTGCTGGGGAGCCACGGGAATCGCCAGGCACTAATCCTCCCCCGGCCCCAGAGGCAGGGGCTTGGCTATTACCACGGAGCTCTTCCCGGGCTGAGTGCCTGCTGCAGGCCCCCGGGGAGTCTGGCTCGGCCTCACACCCCCACCCGCCCCAGCCAGCGGGGTGCTGCTCAGGAAGTGAAAGCCGTGACTAATTGGGAGGCGAGACCTCCCCCCCACGCTCGGCTCAGCGCCGGCACTCAGAGTAGGGTCCAGAAGGGAACAGGGCCCGGGCCTGGGTTGGGAACCAGCAACCAGGACTGGGGCTGACTGTCCCCCTGCCCCTCCCCACAGCTGCCTGGGTGGGGGCTAATCAGCAACTTGGGGAGCTGCATTACTTCTCCAGGGACCAGCTTAGTTTTTCTAGCTATAAGGAGGGTGTGTCACAGCCTCCCACCAGCGTCCCCAGGTAAGGCACTTAGATGGTTTGCGAGACAGTCATGACCTTGGCCCCATCAGCACCACTCCCAACCAGAGGGGCTAATGGGCCCGGCAGGCCTTCAGGGCTGGAAGGGTTAACCCAGCTCCCAGAGGAGCCTCCCTCTTGCATGGAGATGAGCGGAGACTTGGTTAAACCCTGGAGCTCCATAAAACTGTCCCCTGCAGGCTGCTGAGAGCAAGTCACAGGGCTGTCCCATCAGTCTGAGAGATGGGGACCTCATCTTGAGAGGCGAGGGCAGGGGCAGGGCGGCCTTCCATCCATTCCCCATCCCTGGCAGAGCTTCCCGAGGCCAGAGGAGAGCATGCATGGAATCTCAGGGACCTGCTTGCTGGGTACCAGAGTGAGCCCTGGTCGCTGGGCGCCCACCTGGAGCTGCCACGGGGGCCAGAGAGCCCAGCTGCAGGGCTGGGGAGAGAGCCTGGTGGGGGCTCTTTCACTGACTGCCTGCGAGCCCTGTCCCGTCTCTGGGTCTCAGTATTCCAGCTCTGACAATGCTCCCAGAAAGAGCAGGGTGGCCGAGGGCCTGGACACGACGTCCCCTGGATGGGGGTGAGGGTTGCAGAAGGACTTAAGGCCACCCCTGGGGCAGGTGCGGGCCAATGCAAGCTCAGGGTCTCACAAAGAGAGTCCCCAGATCCTTTTCAGCCTCCACACTGGATCGCTGCACAGCCTTTTCCTGCCTCCTCCACAGCCACAGCTGCCGGGAAGGGGGGCAAGGAGGGGGAGAAGTGGCCCCGGGGGCCTGTCAGGGAGGATGTGGGTGGAGCTGAGAAGCTTGGAGGGAGGGCGCCTAGGAGCAGATGGCACTCCCTGCCCCCCTACCACTCCAGCCTCACATCCACTTCCCATTGTCAGGAAGGGCGCCCAGGAGCCACCTCTGCCCAGATACCTGCTCCTCCCCGTCCCTGCTACTCTCCGTTCCAGACTGGACCCCAGATGTTCGCCCACACACCCAGCTTCGGCCTCCTGCAGTGCCCCGCCCAGGCCAGGCAGGCTTCCATCCCGCCAAGCCCTGTGCATACCCCGCATCTGCCCGGAAGGCCTGAGATGTCCCCACCTGCTTGCAGTTAGCATTCCCCCTTCCTGACTACACCCTCGCCGGGTGCCCCTGGTGCTGTGCCTGTCCCCATTCGGAGGTTGTCAGCTCCCCACGGGGAGAGATCATATCACGTTCATCGTGGCCATCTCCTGTGCTAGCACATACTAGGTGTTTCTGTGTGTCGGATTTGTGTTTTCTGAGAACAACTGAGGTTACCTGCCTCCGGGAGCCGGTGAACACACGTGCACTCACACGCTCACAGTGCAGCTCAGCACAGACTGTCCTCGGCTTACATACGACGGGGCCCTGTGCCAACAAACCCACCGCAAGTTCAAAGTGAATGCGCCTAATCCACTGAACACCATCGCCTAGCCCAGCCTACCTTACGTGTGTGCAGAACACTTCGGTTAGCTTCCACTGGGCAAAATCAAAACTCTTTTATAATAAGGTGTCCAATATCTCACCTAATTTATTGAACACTGTACTGAAAGTGAGCAGCAGAAAGGGGATGGGCACTCAGAGTGCAGCTGCTATCGGAAGTGTATCACTTTGGCACCATCGTAACGTGGAAAAATCTTAAGTGGCAGCATCTTGAGTCAGGGGCGATCTGTGACTGTCCGGTGGGGCTGACAGGTCTGCAGTGCTCCCCGGGGCAACACCGAGCAGACACCTGCACGCACACTGGGTCTCTAGGGTCAGCGCGGCGTCTGGTCACGGGAAATCACAGAATTATGTCCCTGGAGGTTATACGAACTTGGGGAGTTATTCTCAGAATAGGGACGCATTGGGACAGTATGGGACCTTCCAGGATTTACATCTGACGGACAGAGGTTGGTGATATTGACTTCATCTCTTAAGAGCTTTGCCAGCTTGGACAATTTACTCCCCTTTTCTCATCCGCTGCGCTTTGCAGAGCCCTTGGGAGTGTTAAATGAGGTAATGAGTGCCCTGCAGGGGTTTTCAACCTGCTGTGACAGCTTTGGGGCCGTTTGCACTTGTCTTGGGTCCACAGTGCAGGGTGCTAGGGGGTGCTAGGGAGAGAGTCTGGGGCTCCATCCTCCTCCCCACTCCAGCCAGAGCAGCCCCACTTACGTCTGCCTCATCTACCAGACTTTCCTACCAAGTTCCATTGAAACACAGGCTGCTATGGCCCCAAAAAGTTTGAAAACCACCCCCTTGGCACCGGTGTCGTGGTGTCTGGCACAGAGAAGGTGCTCCATCATCATTTGTTCCCTGCCCTTTGTCAGCCTGCCAGTCCTGGGAGCTCAGCGGGGGCAGGGTGCCTGCGGGGAGGAGCTTGGGCTCCAGGCACTTATGGGGAGAGAGCGGGGGGCCAGGCAGAGACAGCAAGCCAGGGCTGGAGACGCTGGGTAGACGCCCACCCTGGTCCCCAGCTGCCCCGGCAGTGCCGGGAGAGCAGGGCTGTGAGCATGTCTGTGCCTGGCGTGCAGGTGTATGATGTTTGTGTGTACCTGTGTGTCATGTCCATATGTCCCTGTGTACGTGTGTGATCTGACCTTTGCGTCTCGCATATATGCATGTGTCTGTGTGTCTGTGTATGAGGATATCTGGTCCGTGTGTGTGTGTGTGTGTGTGCGCACGTGTGAGTGTGTGCAGGGCCTGAGGACTCGGCCCCTTGACTCATTTCCATGTGACCCGCCAGGAGATCAGCACCCTGGGTCCTCCCCCGTGGTCAGAATTATCTGCTGTCTCTGTTGCCATAGATAATCACCACAGGTAATCGTGGATCATCCAATCCCACTGCTCGTCCTAAACTTCAGTTTAATGCAGACTTTTACCAGCCAGCTCCCCGCCCAAGGGCCCTGGGTGGCCTCTGGGGACTGAGGCGTAGCCTTAGGGGAGAAATGGGGGCGGGGAGGGGCCGGGATCCAGAAGCACCTGGGGTTGCCCCCCGGGAGCACTAGAGAGCTGTCAGCCCTGTCTGATGTATACTGCGCGCCACTGTGTGCTGCACACGCGTGCACATGCACACACACACACACACACGCATGCACACTCGGGGTCTGGGGTTGGCGCTCACTGCCTCCCTGAAGGCAAGGCACTGGCACCGGTCTTACCCGGCACCCACTTCCACTGGGGTGTTTACTGACCACGTGCCAGGCACTGTGCCTGCACACGGAGACGCTGCCTCCACAGAGCTCCCGGGCCCACCGAGCGCAGCCTCAGACGTGTCGCCAGTCCGCAGGTCAGTCGTCTCCCCTGCCATCTGCCCTATGACGTGTTCTAGAATGCCCAGGATGCAGGAGGCCTTTCTGCCGGGAGCAGGGCGGGAGTGGAGCTATGCCAGGCCTGGGGCTGGCCCTGCGAGCCCTCGCCAGCTGCCCTGGGACAGGGGTGCGGGCACAGGCTGGCACGGGCGGACACGGGCTGTCGCCAGCGGGGCTGGTCCTGTGAGGCGCTGGCACATGGGGGAACGGACCACGGGGGGCTCAGGGGCTCCAGAGGGAGGGAGCTGGCTGAATCTGCAGGCCCAGGAAACAAAGGGCCTGGGGACAGCTGGGGGACAGAGGCTGTGAGCTGGACCCCAGCACACCACAGGGTTCCTGGGCTAGGGAGCCCTGCACAGAGCCAGTCAGGAGATGAAAGATCGCTCCCCCCAAATGCTGCCTGTCCGGGTGCCCCGCTCCTGGCCCTGGAGATTGGAGAGCATTAAGGAACTTGGCAGCTCTCTGATGGGTGGCACCAGGAAAACGGGAGTTAGGAGCCCAGTGGAGAGCAGAGACTAAGTGATTTATTAACAGCCTACAAGGCAGGCTGTCCCCTTGCCCTCTGTCCTGCAGCCCAGCACACTGGCTCTCAGGGCTGGCCGGGAGTCAGCCAGCCTGGTGCTTTCTAGCTGGTATAATTACAGTATAACTAGTTCCACCCTAGTTATTACGGTCATGACCTCACCTCTCTGGGCCTCAGCATCCCACCTGCAAAGTGGGGACGAGACGGGCAGGGCCCAGTCCATGGGGCTGTCGTGAGGCCAGCGCCATGCCTGGCCCGCAGTGAGTTATGAGATCAGACCTCAGAACCCTCGCAGCCCTCCCGTGTCCACACCGCTGTGCCCGCGTGCGAGCCAGGCGTGCTTCCCCGCGGTCACGACACTCGGGCTGCACTCACACGTGCTCAGGAGACCGGCAAACCCACAGTCTCTGCCGGCAGCTGCCTCCCCCTCCTGCAGCCCACAGGTGCGGTGGGGCCGTGGTAAGCACCTGCACAGGTAAGCACCCGCGCAGGTAAGCACCCTCGCAGGTAAGCACCCGCGCAGGCAAGCACCCTCGCAGGTAAGCACCCGCACAGGTAAGCACCCGCACAGGTAAGCACCCGCACAGCGCGCCGGCACGCAGCGCAAGGGCGCCACCCCCGCCCCCCGCCCCTGACAGAGCTACACCTGGTGCAATCCGTTCAAGGCGGCACAGCTGGGATGTGCACGTGGGCACCCCCAGGCAGGTGCTCCTCACAGCCTCCCACACGCACGCCCTGCCTGGCGGGATATAAGATGGGAGTTTGGCACCTTTTCCTCCGCCTAGGAGGGAATTGCCCCCTGGATAGGGACAGCACCGTCATCCTCCAGAAAGGTCTGTGCCGACCCCACGCCCCTCTGGGAGGACAGGGCTCTGTGGTGGCCTGGGTGGGGGCTGCTCGAGTCTCAGTGTGCCAGGGCAGGCAACAGCTGGCAGGGGGAGGGGGACCGGGCTTGAGAGGTCTCCGTGGGGCCCTGAGCTGGAGAGGTCCTTAGGGCACCTATGGGTGGGACAGGGAAGCAGGGCAGCCGCGTCCTTCCTCCACCCTCCCTGTGCGCTCCTCCCCGGCTTTCTCGCAGGCTCTGTGTTTGCAGCTGGTTTCCTGAGGCCAAGGTGCAGCCCTCGGGGACAGCTGTGATTCCCAGGCTCCCCGATGTGTCTGAGCTTTCAGCATTGGGCATGGGGGCGTCTTCCTGTCTCCGCCCTTTCCCTTGGAGAGACCCTTCAAAGTGGGGAGTGGATGGAAAGGAACAAGCCACCCTGGACCTCAGGTTTTCCTACTTGCCCGCCCCACTCTGCGTGCGGTGCGTGGACGGGAGAGTAAGGTCTTGGAGGAAGGATCGCTTTTTGAGACGCCAAGTATAAGAACAGTGGTTTCAACTTCTCTCTCAAGACCCAAACCAGGAAGAAAAGCCCCTTATGCGTCAGCACAGTGATTTCTGCAGGTCCCCCCGTCTCTGCTGAGGGGAGACGCCCCGTTTCCCAGATAGCTTCCCGCACCCTGGTCCCGAGCTGAGGCGTGGTGGGGTCGGGTCCCAACCTGCTCCTCCCCCCAGGCTGGTTTTATTTTGCTCTGGGGTGCAGATGAAGCCCCCACTCTTGGGCTGCACTGCAGGAAGGCCGCCCTCCTGCCAGACACGGGGTGGGGGCACCTCTCGCTCCTTGGGTTTGGCAGACATGGAGCGGATGCGGGCTCGGGCGGGGTCGGCTGCCCCATGCGAGGGGCTGCGCGTGGCCTCCCCGTGGAGTGGGAAGCGAACGGCGCATTAGGCGAGAAGAACGCTGAGGAGCATTGGGGCCGAGCCTGTCCTGGGACGGAAGGTGTTCAGGTTTCGGGTGAGAACATGACACACCCCTGCTTTTGTGTGCATCCTCTTTGGTAAACAAAGAAACAAGGCTCATGTCGCATGAAGGACTCATCGAACTGGAGAAGGGGCTTGTGTCCTGTGGGGTGGTTACTGTCGGGCATAGAGACCCACAGAAACTCCCTTAAATGTTCCGGATTAGCAACAGCCCCTGGGTCTGTTAGGGGCATATCCTCTGAAAGGATGAGAGGCCGGCAAGCAGGAGGGAATGAAAAGAATGTCTTCTTATGGATTCCTGAGTCCCATCTGCCTTTTACCATTTGAAAGAGGGTTGGTTACCCCAGGCTGGAAGAAATGTACAGGGTCATCCAGCCCAGCCTGTGTCTCTAACCTTGGACCAGACCCCAGTTCTCCACGCCATCCTTACGAGTCATCTGAGAGGAGATCGCCCCACCTCCTCATGGCTCATGTTCCTGGTCAGGAAGTGTCTCCTGCAGTCTAACTTAGATCCCTCCTGCTTCACCGGCATACTCTTTGCTCTGGTTCTTCCTTCCTTGTGTGTCAACCACCTCTTCTCCAGCCCCCTGGTTCTGCCCTAGGAATCCGTCCCAAAATACAAATACCACCCACATTCAGGCTTAGAGATTGTCTTAGAAATAACACCTTCTCGCCAACATTTGGCTTGAGGAGGTTTTTGGTGGGGGGACCATGCATCCTCCAGACCACCCAAAATGTATTGCTTCCCCGATGGCCTTCAAGGCAAGATAGCTGGGGGCACACCCTTCTGTGTACTCACTCCTGAGAAGTGAGTTTGGTCAACCAGGCAAGATTGTACAACCATCCCGTTGAGCACAGTTCCTCAGAGACCCATCCCACTTTATCCCTATTTGAGCAACTGCCGGCAGAGAAGGTGCTGGAATGGAATTGCATAAGGAGTGAAATCTGGCAGGGGAATGGTGTGGGGGCAGGCTGAGGGCTAAAGCCAGGGAGTGCATGCCACCAGGGAAGGGGGTGCAAGGGAAGAACTTGGCCAGGGGGGGCAGTGGAGGGTGGGAGGAGAGAAAGGGAGAGTGCCCAGGTGAGGGAGGGCAGGCTCCTTGATTCTGGGGGACTCATCCCTTGAGGGGAGGTTGCCTCTTCTTCCATCATTGCCCATGATGAGTATGAGAAGGGCAGTGCTTTCTGCACCTGTGAGGCAGGTGGGCCTTGGGTGACTTTGGTATCATTGGCTTGGGGGGGCTGCTCCCGTCTGTCTCGCCTCCTGCCTCCCTCTGCCTGGGCGGGGACTCCCATGAGACATTAGGAAGAACTCTGACCTTATGGCAAAAGCCTGTCAGTGGTTCTGCGGCCCGGCTAGAAAGGGGTGGCCTGGTGGGCACCTGGGGACGGGCTTGGATGCTGTCTCTAAGGGCAGGAGGGAGGGCACCTGTTGTGACCTCCCAGCCCTCTCCCTGCCCCACCCCAGGAGGTGCGGTCACACCAAGCTCTCCCACAGGTGGCCCACCCTTTGCTGCCCTTGATTTCTAGTGGCCGGTCTGGTCCCTCTGAGTGGCACCAGGAGGCTAAAGTGCACTGAGGGGCTTTCTGGCCAAGAGCTGGGATGGGAGGCTGAAACTGCTGCCCAGCTGAGACCAGAGCATCAGCTGTGGACTGGGTTATTTGGGTTGTTCCTTCTCCTGCCTCCTTCTGAGCAGGAAAAGAAGATGCTCAAGACCCCCACACCCCTTCTCCAGGGCTGGGGCCGTGGCACGCACAGCCCACACCCTGCTGGTGTCACCGGATTCCCAAACCTCCAAACAACCTTGAGTGACAGCTTTCCCCCGGGACTCAGGCTCAGACCCTCATGGGGCCTGGCCCTGCCCCCGCAGGGCACGCTCAGACCCTCATGGGGCCTGGCCCTGCCCCCGCAGGGCACCGTGACTCCCTCCCTCCTCCTCCCCCACCCGCCTCGCTTCCCGGACCTGGCAGCCCCTCTCTGAGAAGGTGACAGCATTTAGCTCTGGACACTCACTGTCCCGGGCTGTGTCCCCCACCCCTGGCCCATTATGTAAGCCCCAGGATTCTGAGCAGAAGGACAGCCCTTTCTTTCCAGAACTCCCAACTTGTGCCCCCTCCCTCCCCTCACCACTCTGGCCCCAGCCCCTTTCCTTACTGGAAAATTAAACTTTGTGCAAATCCTTTCCTCCTACCAGTGAGGAGAAGGGGAGGGATCTGAGGAGCAGAGGAGGCTGGGGAGAGGGGAGGAGAAGAAAAGGAACTTCAGCCCGGTGGGCCCAGCTCCTTGCCCTCTGGGGTGTGACTTGCCCCAGGTAATCTCCTCCTGCTCCAGCTCCCGGACAGGCCTTTGCCCAAACTTGTGTTCCCCTCTCTGCCCCTTCCACAGCCGCCGCCTCTGCCCGGCTGAAGCAAGACTTCGCAAAGAGGTCACCCAGCAGAGGTAGCCCCCGTGTGACCTCGAATCTGGGGGCTTGGGCTCAGTTCCATGCAGGGACTTCTGGGGGCAGGCCAGGGCCCGGGGCCTGGCCTTACAGACTGGGCTGGTCCTGGCCCAGGGGCGCCAGGGCAGGCCGGGGAGAAGCCGCGCTCTCCACAGGCAGCTGCTGCTGCGGGTGGCCAGCTCGGATTCCTGGCCCCGCTCCTGGGGTCCAGCTCTGCGGCCGGGCCTGCCCTGTGAGGGCCGGCAGGACCCACCCACGCAGACAGGGCGGAGGGGCGCCTCCCCGGTAGGGACCAGCAGGCGACTGGGGCTGACGGAGGTGAGAAGTCAGCCTGGCCCCTGCCGCCTGGGCGTCCCTGCCCTGCCCCCTCCCAAGTTAACCCGCGGGTATTTACAGGAAGGAGCGCAGAGCCCCAGCCCACGCCGGGAAGCCCCTGGCTGCAGGAGACAAAAGCGGCTTGCCACCTACCTGGGGGGGAAGAAGGGTGCTGGCTGGGGCAGGTGGACGTTGCCGGAGCCGGTGAGCCGGGGCCGCGGGGAACCGGCCCCTCGGCGCCCTCCCCTCCGCCCTGCCGGCCTCAGCCGCTGGCTGTCCTGGTGCCGCGCCGGCCGCGGCGGCGGTGGCGGGCGAGGGCGCGTGTGTGTGTGCGCGCCCGGAGCCACTGCAGCATCTCTGCATCAAGATGTGCTCCTCCCTCTCCCCGGCTCCGCTCACTGGCTGGCTCCGGTCCTCAGCCAACGCTCGGGGGCCCTGGAGATGGCTTCTTTCTGCCCCCCCATCCCCTTCCGTCCCCACCCTCCTGGCTTTACCTCATTTGCTGTCATTTAAGGACCAGGGAGCTGACCGACCGGCGGCCGGCGGCGTCTTCCATAATGCATGGGCAGCCCCGGCCACTGTCTGGCCTCCCTGCCCTCCTCATCCCGCCCAGCCCCCTGGCTCCCCCAGCCCGGGGCTGAAGGGGTGGGGTGAGGAGGGAAAAGGAAAGTGGCTCTTGCTCCTCAAACCCTGGAGACCTATGGAGCAAAAAACTCCTTGTTTCCCCAGAAATCGCCTATTAGAGGAAGGGATCCCCATCAGAAATCCCAGCTTGCTGCGGGGGGCAAGGGGAATTGGGGGGGTTGCGGGAAGTGGGAGCTACCTCTGCCGCCCAGCCCACAATGCGCCCACCTTCACTGTTTCCCTTGCTCTAAAGTAGCATGGGCTTTTTGTCAAAATGTCCAAACATCAGAGGCAATTTAAAAATAGATAGTGAAAGTCCCTTAACCACCACTTTTCACAAATTTGAGTAG